GCAGGTGTAGTGCATCTTGCCAGATGTAAGATATCAACGGCAGTGCCTCTTAAAGCAGTTTTGGTTGAGGAAGGTGTCTGGCAAGGATGCTCTCTAGAAGAAGGCAGTGGCTTGAGCCAAACACTTCACTGCTCTTGTAGTCTCTAAAATCTGCTTTTCAAAAGGGCAACTCCAACTGCAAATACTTCCAGTGACCAGGGAGCAGATGGTGGAGCCATTTTGGTAATGAACACCTTCAGTTTTGTCAAGCCTGTTGTCTATCAACCTCCTCAGGTTTAGAATATAAATGTTTTATTCTCCCATTGGTTTGTCTTCCTAAGATAAGCAGCTGTATTCTGGGCCTCTGGGGTGCCTTGGCTGGCCAGTTCAAAATAGGGTGTGGGAGTAATAAAGGTCTGGATGACTGTAGTGGTGTCTGCATCTGAGAGACATCAGTCGTTTGGCAGGCTGGAGATAAGACTCACAGCTATTAGCTGCCTGATAGAGTTTCATGGGACTCTTATTTCAGTCCATTTTGATGTCAGGAAGGCAGACGCTTTCAACAAAAAGAGCGCTCATAGATTTTATTGGGGCATTCAAATGCTTCCAGTTCCCAGCTGTCATCAGCTCCAGTTTAGTCATATAGCTGTCACTTTATCCCTCTGTCTGCGACAGGTCTTGAGAGAAGAAAGATACTGATTTGTTAAGCTTTAATGAAAAGGAGACTCATTCATGTTTCCAGACACTTTTAGCTTTACTCACACAAATGAACCCCACTGAAGGAAAATAAAGTAAATCTTTCCACAGGTACATCCAAAATTAATAAGAAACTATTATTTCAGATACATCTGAGGGGATCTTGTACACTATGAGGGATGGGATTTTCTGAAGTCAGACCGAAGCACTTCAAAACCAGTCCCCAAGTGTGTACAGAAATGAAAGGCTGTATACTTAGGAAAGCACAACTTCTTCAATATATCTGAGGCAGAGCTTATCTCTGATGCTGTCATCAAGGCTGGAAAGGTTATTTTTCAGTCTTCTATGAGGAAATATTTAGCTGCATAATTTCATTATTCAACCATATCAGTGCCCAAACATTGCTACCTATGAACCAGCATCTTCACCAGGGATATCCTTCTGATTAATGCATCTTTTTCCAACTTCAGTTGGACTTTTTGCCTGTTCAGTTATTTACAGATCTCACATTATCAGCTCAGAAAAAAAGTTATTGGTGAAATCTCAATCTGTTAATGAAAAAAAGTTTTAAAAACATTTCTCTTTGTACCATCAGAAGAGTACTGTTTTCTCTTTGCTAAGAGTTAAACTGTTTAACTGGTCCTAAATATTTGCTTGTCTTCTAACAAGAAGCCTCTTCAAGTCTATGCAAGCTCTACTCCCATTCTCTTAAAGTAGCTTTTACTTTTTGTAGAAGGCCAAGTAAAAGGACTCACATTCAGCACTGTGTGCTTTGCAGGTCTTGAACAAAACAGACTGAGCTGAAAACAAAAGCTCAGCTTTGACTCTTACTCCACTGGCCCAAGTTAGTTCCAGCCAGATCCTTAATGTTACTTTATCTGCAGGTTTGGTTTTTTGTGCAATCAATGCCAACACTGTTGGGCAAATACAGGATGCATAGGGATTTAAAAAAAATCCAGCTGCCAACAAGAAAAAGTGCTTTGTAACCACAGTTTGGAATGGAAACAATTTTCTAAGATACAGATCAAACTGTGTTTATAGACTCAACTATTGGCAGCTTTTCACCAAGCTATTTCCTGTGTGCCTATTGCATAGAGGAATAATCTAAGTGCTTAAACTAACATTTAAAACCATAGAGAACATGAAGGAAACACTGTGTGAAGCAGCATGGAAAACACAATGGTGTTGAATTTTCTTTTGTTTCCATAGCTAATACTCATGGGAGAAGGCAGTAAGTACTGCATACCAAATGCCAGTACTCCAGTTCTTTGCAGGAATTGGTCCAGTACTTACTTTCTACTGTTTTAATTGCTGAAATACCTAAATAACAAACATTTTCAAAAATGCCTCCTAAATTAGATGAACTTGCTAAAAGTTAGTTACTTTAAGTGCAGCAAGTTATTATTCCTTAGTAAAATAGTTCAGACAAAGGCACACATGAACAGAAGGAATCTGATTTCCCATTAGAGCCGGTGGAAAATCTGAAGGTCTGAAGACAAGAGTCAAGGTAGATGTAAAGTGGTTTGCTCAGTTTGAAATGGTTGCCACAAACATTACTTGCAGAAAAAGCCCAGAATTCAGCTGCTAGCTGTTTGGAATATTTTTGGTGTTTTTCAACGGGGCAGGTTTCCTGTCCCAGACTTCAAATGCATGCCCTTTGCTTCAGGCATGCATGTGTTGGTGGCACAGCTCACCTCCTGATAGTATCAGTAAGGTCAGGGCAGTCAGGCTGTGATGCCCATGCAGAATTTTAATGGGGTTTTTGTTGCTGATGTTCTGCTTGGCTGGACTTCATTCCTTATCTCCAAGCCACGTCTCAGCTAGGGAGCATGGCAGCTCCAGTAGAGGAAAATTTTATGGTTATGACAGTAATTTAGGTTGGATGCAATCTCTGAAGGTTGTCTGATAGGTCCAACACAGAGCAGGAGCCATGTAGGTGACTTTGGCCAGGGCCAGACAAGTCACTGTCTCCAGGATAGGATTCCCACAGCTTTTCTGGGCCACCTGTTTTGGTATATAATTATGACATGCACACCAATAATATCAAATTTGTTTGTACTTTTCTTTTTCAATTGTACCCTTACAGATCAGTTCTGGGAGGTATAGTAGAAGGCTTAGCTTTACATACTGATTCCAGCTAAAAATCAAACATTTTTGTTGGGAAAGAAAACCACCTAAACAGGTAAGATCAACTGAGGTGAGGTGTCACTGGGCTTTTCTTTTACCTGGGCCTTTGGGTAATGCAGAAAACATAATTGTGAATTTGCTGGAGACAGATGCATGCTGGAGACAGACATGGACTGTACACAGCAAGTGTGCAGTCAGAAAAGCATTGACAGTTTTGGGTTTATGCATTTCTTGCACACTAATTTTCCTGAGATGCAGTTCCAAACCCAGTCCATGGGTGCTGCAATGCAGCTGCCAGAGGGAGGAGGATCTGAGGCTGCGGGGACAGAGGCCAGGCAGATCCATTGGGACTCACAGCTCCTCATCTGCACAGCAGTGAGCATTGGGACCATCCCAACCACCACCACCGCTTCTGGGATTTTTCCCAACCAAAGGCATTCTGGAATGTTTTACATCTCGCTCTGAAACCCGTACACAGATATTTCATAATATGTGTATTTAAAGGAATGCAAATGGTTTCAAAAGACAGGATGGCAAAATAGTATTTCAAGTTGTTGCATTGTGACATATGATAACTATTGTGAGATTTATTTTAGATGAGTCACAACTATCCTGTAATGAGCTGTTTTTACTTTGTAGAAATACAGGTATTATTGGGTTACTACCGTTGTGTCTCACATATAAAGAATCAAAAAAAAAAAAGTAATTTTGTTCTTCAGGAAGATTTTGTTTCAGATAAGCAAATTGTTAGACCTTCTTCATAATTTGGTAAGAGAGGAAATCTGTGAATATGTGTGATGCTCATATGTGGCAAGTTGCTTTCTCTACAACCAAATGAGCACTTCCTTTGGTCCAGGATTTAAGTGCTGTGCTGGGCATCCAGAATGCATGGAATGCCTGTCTGTTCCTGGCTGCCTTCCACAGCGAGGTGACAGCCAACCTATGGCCAAGGGGTAGGAGATGGCAGTGGGTCCTCTGCTCTCACCCACCACAAGACAGGTGTACTGCAGATTGATTTTGAGCTATGCCACATAAAAAGCTGCAAAATATAGTCCTGAAACTGTTCATAATGAAATTAAGTGTAGGAGATATAGACTCAGGTACAAATTAACCAACAAATCTGTCTCAGTACTTTATCTTGGTAAAAAAATCAATGCTGTATCATCTCCTAAGATTAGTTTTGAAGGGCTGTGCATTTGCTAATGGAACCAATGCAGGATGTAGGTGAGCGACACGTGTACCAAAACTGGATTTTTGCCCACTCGAGCAGCTTCAGCACATTATTTGCCGTGTCCCAATGCTGTTTGTCTTCTACCGGCGTGGTATTTGGGCTGGGACAGTAACATCTGCTAAGGACGAGGCCAGCTCCATCCCCGCACGCCAGGCCCGCAGAAACTGCGGGGAACCTGCCGGGAAGTGAGAACTGCCACACGCACAGCCTGAGCCCAGGGGGCAGAAAGAGGTTTTCAGCCCACAGATTTGTTTCTTTGGGGATGGGGGGAGGCAACATCAAGGGAAAAGAAGTATTTAAAATATGCTGCGATTCCCTTGGTCTTTGTCAAGAAGCGCTACGCACATGGCAGCTGAAGGAGATGATGACACGGGGGCCGCCGTGGGGAACTGGGTACCGACGGGGAGTCCGTGCCAGCACACCGCCCGAGCCCGGGGCTACGGCACTGCTGGGCCCTTCCAGCGGGCGCTGCTGGGCCCTGGCCCGGCTCCGTGAGTACGGCACTGCCGGACCCCTGCGCAGCTCCGGGGGTACAGCACTCCGGGGCCCGGGCACAGCTCCGGGAGTACGGCACTGCCGGTACCCTCCGCGGCTCCGGGGATACGGCACTCCACTGCCCTGGCCCGGCTCCGGGGGTACGGCACTCCGTGGCTCGGGCAGAGCTCCGTGAGTGCGGCACTGCCGGGCACGGCCGGCCCCTCACCCAGCCCGGCTCCCCCCGGGGCGACCCTGCGCGCGGCGGGCGGGGCGGGGCGGTGGCGCATGCGCGGCGCGGGCGCCCTCTCACCCCGCTCAGCTATGCCAAGTATGTGCGCGGCGGAGCCGGGGCCGGGCGCGCGCGGCGGCGGCGCCATGGGGCGGTCGGGGCCGGGGCTGCCGGCGGGGCCGCCGCGGCGCTCGGGGGCTGCGCGCTCCCGCTGGCCGGGGGGCAGCGCCCGCTGAGCGCGGCGCGGAGGCAGCGCCAGGCATGGCCGATCCGCTCCGCAGGACGCTCTCCAAGCTGCGGGGCAGAAGGTCCCAGCGAGGCGCGGCGGCGGGCGCCGGGCACCGCCACGGCGGGGTCTGCGCCCCGCAGGGTAAGTGTGCGCCTGGCTCGGCCGCGGGGCTCCCGCTGTCCGCCCGCGGCCGCTTCCACCTGCCGGGCAGCGCCAGGCGGGGGCTCCCGCGGCACCGGGATGCTCCGTGCCCGCTGCCCCGAGCGCCGCGCCGGGGCCGGGAGTGAGCCTGCGTCTTGAATCAGCCCCTCAGCGGCGGCTGCGTGCCATCCGTACCTGCGCTTCTCCTGGGAGCGGGAATTCCTCACGAAAGCCAGAGCTTCTGGGGTTTAGACCAGCGCTGTGTGCGCGTCCCTGCTCGTTGTCTTGTCTCCCACATCTGTTTGTCACTCCTCGGCTGCTGTTTGCCCGCTGGGGTTGGTTGGTTTGTGCGCTTTTTAAAGATGCACTCGAAATCTTACAGATCGATTTTCAGTTTTGTCGTTGTTCCATTTGAATATATAGTAGTTATACTTTTGTTAGGAACCTTAGTGAAGGAGAATGTGTTTATATATCAGCCACAAGAACTGAGAATTGTTTGATCCATATATGGAGAGACTGGATAAAGCTGTTCCCTGCTTCTGTGCGATCTGCGAAGCACGGCTTGGTATCGTGGTGAAGTATTTTCTGTGCCCACGGAGTTGGCGTAGTATCAGTTTTGACTTCAGTTGAGTTGAAACATTGAAGCTTTGATTTCTGAGCATACACGGGTTGTTACTGTGGCTTAACTTGAAATACTGATTTATTGGATTTTTTATCAATAAAGTGAAAGGTGAAGGAAATACCTTTTTTTTTTTTTTCTTGAATACCATATTGAAGCCTTTTGCAAAGGAACTGTTGTCATGTTGGGTGTTTGCGTAGAGACATGGTCTTAACTATATTAAATGTGTACTAAGTATATAATATATATATTAAATATGTATGTGAAAATGCTAATAGTAGGCAGCATTCTTCTGAATGAAACATTGCTCTAGAACAAAAAGTATGTTCCTGACCTGTATGTCTCTCAGAGCTTTGTATTTATTTAAAATTGACTCACTCCTGTAACAGCGAACAACATTGAAAACTTGCTCTGTGATATTGAACCACTGGTTGGGCAGATATTTGCATGTGAAGCAGTTTGTTACTAAAATAAACACAGGCATAAGGGCTTTCAGGATTAGGGCCAAGTTCGAATAAAGGGGAAGCAGTGCTTGCAAATACTGCTAGCAGTTGCAGAACCTGCAGTTGGGAGATGTGTGTGTAAGTGTATCATTTAGACGAGTTTCAGTGAGCGTTTCCAGTCGATGACCCCTGGCAGCGTGTGGCCGATCAGAGTTGGGGTCTTCCTGACTCCTCTGGAAGGTGGCGTGTCCTTGTGAGCAGCCTTGCTGGAGGAGGCTGGAGGCTCGTGCTTATTGTTTTCAACATCCACCCAGGTATCTCAATAATGAGCTACCTGCAACAGCTTTGTGCAGAAACATCAAAGTTTGCTGCTGCTAGCACTGAAGGGCAGCCTGAGGCTGACACCGGATGTGTCACTGGGTGTATGTTTAGGCACATTGTACTGCTTAGGAGTCTGTTTTGGGAACTGTAGGCTGTCCTAACCAGTACGGGAGGACCCATGTTTCTACAGCAAAGCAGGAAGTAGCAGATATTTTTGTTTGTGGAAATACAGCTCTTGGATGCTCCATCTATTTATGGCACCAGAGCGGGGACCATCCTTGGAGTGAAGCAAGGGCTTTGGGATAGTTGTCACTGGCAGGAGGATGTCTATCCAAGAAATCCCTGACCCAGACAGACTTCTTGGAAACACAGGCATAGCCCTATGCCCGTTGCAGATTAGTTTCCTATCCTTTTGGTTAGTTCTCGAAATTGTGGTGTGACAGTGTGTAAGAAAGAGCCATTACAACAGCATGCTTCCATTTCCAGGCTGAGGGTGGGGGAAGGAATGATTGCTGCCAAATCACTGAAACTTTGACAGAGGTCCACATTCATGTTTTCCTCAGATTCTGTTACCTGACTGACTTAAGCCCCAGTACAGCAAAGCACTTCAGTGGAGGTGTGCAAAGGCTTCAAAGAGCATGGTTAATTTTGTTAATTCTTTGAAATAAGTTAATTGTTCAAATCACAAGCAGTGATAATACTGCAGTTTAGCTGAACAAGCAAACTGTACGCTTTTGAAAAATCACCAAATGATGAATCTTTCATCAAATAAAATGGTGGTGTTTCAGATCTTATCAACAATCTCTTCTGTCATTAAAGTACAAACCTAAAAAGAGGGTCAAAGGGAAGGTGTTCCAATGAGTCTCTTTCATGTCTCTACAGCAAAGTTAGCTGGATTTACAGGGCTGTTCCTTGAGTCCTCCAGAGAGGTGTCCATATTTCAACATCCATTATTGGTGGGTAAATAATTCTTTGCTGAGAATAATGTTCAAGCAGTAACAAATAGCTGCTTCCATCTGGAATTTCCAGTTGCAGAGGACTTAATGTGAAAAGAGGTCTGTTTTATGCGAACCCAGTTATCCCTGTTCAGCCTAAATGGCTGAGCAAGCCCAGTTTGGGTTGTCCTACTGTGCAGAGCAGCATGAGGGCTGTCTTACCTGCTCCCTGTTTTTAATTTGGATGTATTTGCAGCTTTTCTTCCAGTCCTAGTGCAGTGGTCGCAGCTCCCTGGCCGACATGTGCTGCAGCCAGGGGAATATGGCACTGCTGCCGAGTGGAGCTTGCATGTGCCCTGACAGGGGCTCAAGTGTGAGTGGCGCTTTCCATGGACAATTAGATGTTTGTCTGTTGCTTCAATGAAACTGTCAAGTTTTTGAGAACAGTCAGTGGAATTTGTTTACTTCTTGCATGAAATTTTTTGTTGTTTAAAAACTTTTTCTTCCTTATCTTTGTGATGGTGTGTTCTGTTGTGTTTTATTGCCCCCAAATCGGGGAATGCTTCTGTCTTAATTGTAGGATAAAGCTAGTAAGGACAGTCCTTTTTGGAGGATTTTGTGCAAGACATACCCTCACCTTTATTTGTATAGAAATCTAGAAATTAATATATGTGGGAGTTTTGTAGCCATTTAAGCAGTACATTGGGACTGTTTCTTCACTGACATAACTAAACCAGAGAAATACTGTGTAGTAACTTTTCAAACCGATTGCACCTGAACTTGGCAGAAAAAAGCAGCCATTTCTGTGGAAGTATGCATGACCTTTCAGCAGAGCTATCTCACTGCCATTTATCTAAATTACATGGTGTTAAAAATACAGCCAAACAAGCCTGGCTCTTTATTAGCTACGTGCACATTCTGCTTTGACAGGCTGAAATCTAATTTTGCGATCGTATCAGGTTATCTTTTGTCCTTTTGGATGAGGTCTGATGCAAGTGTTATACGACAGCAAATGTGTTCATCTGTCAAAATCAAAACAATATTCTAAACATTTGTCTTTCTCTCTCTCTTTGCTTTCCTTTCTGGGAACAGATTTCATAGAAAATGTTTACATAGCTTCGAGAAGCAGGAAGGAGCCCAAGTGCCCCCAGGCCAGCGAGGTGCCCGAGCACAGGCCGCAGGTGAACAGCATAACCGTTTCCAAGAAACGCAGCTGGCTGCAGCAGAGCACCCACCGACGACCTCCTCCTCCTCTGGAAGAAGAAGATGCCTGTAAGGAAGCGCACGGGGCTGTTACCATGGTACCCAAATCTCCCATCCCGCTGCCCGAGCCCGCAGTGCCGTGGGCTCCCTCCATGTCGGCAGTGGGGCGGGAGTGCCCGGCGCGGAGCTGTGCCCTGCCGGGCCCGGCCCCGCTGAGGAGCGCTGCCTTGGACTGCGGTGAGGATGGCGACGCGGATGATGAAGGAGAAATATGGTACAACCCGATCCCTGAAGATGATGAGCCCGACTTGCCCGGCGTCCACCCTTCTGCTGTGAATAGCCTTGCTGCTGTGGGCTCCCCATCAGTTTGGTACAAAGCCCACCCTGGGGGTGACTCTGGGGTGGCCACGAGTCCCCTGGAGGGTCCCACACGTTCCGTGGAGAGCACGGGGAGCAGCTGGACGGCACAGCTCGGTGAGGGGAGTCAGTCGGATGCCGTGCAGCCCGGGGAACACACGCAGCAGCACCGGCAGAAGTTTGCCTGCAAGGCTCCCAGTGTGCCAACAGCAGAGGACAATCCTGCCTTCAAGTGCCCTTCCACAGGTAATAAGAGTGTTAAGGAACATGAGTGTTTGGACCTTTGCTGTCTTTTAGAGGAATAATAAACCTTTGTTATGTCTCTGTGGTCTCTATCTCCGCCTCTTATGTTATCAAGCAAGTTTTAGGTGGAAATGCATGTCAAGTGCATTGAAATTGACTCGGGTTGTGCGACTGATGCTTGCTAAATGCAGAGGTGCACAGTTGTTTCTCTCTCAGTTTGTTCATGGCATGTCCAGGTGTGGTTGGCCTGTATTCTCTTTGGCCCCCACCTCACTGAAGACAAAAGGGTTTACAAAGTGATCTTGCCTGGTAATGTGAGGACACACTGGATTTCCTTTGTCAGCTGGTGTCTAGCCCTGGCCTTGGATTCCTGCCTCAAAGCTACTTAATGTCTGCAGAAGTTTCTTTAACTTGCTGTCTGGGACTTTTTAATAAAGACTTTTGGGTAGACCATATAAATGCTATTCATCACGTCACTTTCTGTAATTACCGTCTTGTTGACTGTCTCAGGCTAATCTAATAGACTGGAGAAGAGTGGTTTTCACTTTCAGAAGCCAGCCTCTTTGTTCTTTGTTATCTTTGGCTGAGTGTTTGATAGTCTCGTTTCCATAATTCCATTAGTGTGTGAATTCAGCATCATATTAAGGACTTTTCCCAGTCTGTTGAAAAACCCCAAACAAATATAAAACCACACCAAACAAAAATAAGTAGAAAAACCCCTCCCAACCTTTTCCAAAAAGGTATTACTTTTAATTACTTATGTGCCTCATGTTATCTCGACCTTACCTCTAGTGTCATGTTCAAAGTTAGAAACAGCATAAAGTTCAGGAGACAGGGAATTCCAGGTTCCTTTCTTTGGAGAAAGGCTACACTTTGCACTGACATTTAAGAGCCTGTATTTCTGCCTGGTTCATCAGAAAGGACCTGAAACATTGGTGTGGGAGCCCAAGTGTGCTTCACCTTCTGGAGGGTCTTCTTTTTGGGTCGTCCCCATCCAGCCTCACCATCCTGGCAGCCTCTGGCCCCATGTCCCTGTGTGCTGGGAGCTGCTGTGCCTGGATTCCTGGTGTAGAGATTACTTCTGGGAACAGGGTTTGTTTTCAAAGGCACCAGAGCAACTGCTGTAAACAGCAGAAGAAAAAACTCATGGTCTTCTGGGGGCTCACATTTTGTTCTTTTTGTGGAAATGCTGCAGATACAAGCATATTTGTACTTGCGAAGTGTGTTAAAGTTTTTGGACATTTTTTACAAATACCTCACTTTATAGCTGTTTTAAATTCTTAGACCAGTTTTATTTGCTTGCAAGACAGATGAGATAATACGTTCTTTGGTAGATTTTTGTTGTTGTTGGGGCTCTAGATGCTTTGTGGAAGTCAATAAGTGTGGTTATTTAGGAAGGCCATGTGTGTCCTGCAAACTGCTTGACCTCCATTTAATTGGCTAATCTCTCTATATGTGGGTGACTATTTCTTTTTTTAAAGTAGTTAGTCCCTTTCTGTAAGAAGAAAAGTGTCAAACTTGTTTTCATACTGAAGATGCATTTATTTCTGAAAGCAAAGTTGTCCATTTCAAGAGTTCCCTGAAACTGGGAGAGAAGCTACAAATTCCATCTGATTGTTCATTATGCATTTGGTTAATTAAGGTACTTCAAATGCAGCTCTCCTTCTGCATGTGTTGGGTGGTGATCACACTGAATAGATTAATTGATGATGAAGTGGATCCCTGCTGCTCAGTAATTGGCTTTATTATGGAGAAGTGGCTTAGTTCTTTTTAATCCAGTTAAAGTATCTTATTTTCAGTCAAATTTAAAACGACAGCTCATCCATATAAAATTACTACATGAAGGGCACCATGACCAAGTTGACTTTATTTGTGCTGGGACCTTGTTTGAATTATACAGCTGGTATGAAATGGGTGTTTCTCTTCATAAAAAGCTGGGTACATGAAGCAGGAGCTCCTGTCAAATAAGAAATGAAAGCTTTTGGGAAAAGTCTGCTTACCTTTCTTATGGATATGATTTATATATGTCAATATTGGTTAGCACTGGAGCCTAAATGTTAGACTTTGGGAAGCATAGACAGAAAAAAATGGGGCAATACAAAATCCAACAAAATAAATATATTTGTTCATTTTGTCATTTGCTGTTTTCTTCTTTGGACAATGGAAACAATTTTACCTTTAAAACTAGACATTTTTGCCTTACTTAGATGTCCAGCTTCGTAGAGAGAAAATAGTAATGCCTTTTTTTTTCCTTTTGCTTATTTTATTGAGTCTTTATTAGACAGGAGATTTTTTGTTAAAAGAAAGTGATAGAATTCTGTTTTGTGAGTCTTTCCAAACAGAGCACCAAATAGGTATTTCCTGTAACTGCTAACAGCACAATGGATCATAGTTATAGAGATGCTAATTTGTCCCATAGTCTTAATTTACACTGCTAGCTCCTGGTATTAATCTGGTTATTTTCTGCAGTAAATGCCATTTATGTTAATAGGATTTGTCAGGTAATTCCTTAGTGAATAATTCTAGCCTTGTTGGCTTTAAAAAAAAAACCTGATTAGAAATAAGGCACCCTTATAGCAGAGCTTGGGAAAATAATTCATGTGTTTTCTTTAAAACACATACCCAAGAAGTAGGAGTAAGAAGGTAACTTGGTTCCACGTTAATAATGTAGAAACAGCCCAGCTTGGGCTCTTAGGTCTGTGGGAGAATTTAAATGGAAAGAACCCTGGAGGCAGTTTTTAATTATGTGTCTCCTTGCACAGGCAAAATGGTTATGATTAAAAAATAGAATTATTATTTTTTTTTATTACAAATGCAATATGAGAATTTTTTCTCACTGTAAAATGTTAAAGTAAATTTTCTTTATAACTCTTTAGGACTGAACACTTAATTGTATATTTTTATAGACGTGTGTATCACCTGCAAATTGTTGAAGAAAAATACCCCTTTCTAATGTTGGCTCCTGAGGCAGATTTACACCGTGGAACTCTGAATAGTACCTTCTGAAGAATTTGCAGTATCTTTGCTTTTGGGGAGGATTACTGTTGGTATTAGTGTCCACCTAATGAGTGGAATCATCTCATATCTGAGAAACATCCTGGTAGGACCTGTGCACTGGAGATTGCTAGGATGTGGCTCGTGCTTTTGTACTAAAAATGTACTTGAGTTAGCTGTCTGGGTGGAAAATCCTGGTAAGAATCACTGTAAACAATTTCTTTCCAGTGTTATGGCAGGTGAAGATGGATCCCACATTCCCACTTAACCCTGATCCGTGCCAACTGGAACTTGGCTTAATTCCTATTAAAACTACAGGGCTCTTTCTCCACTTAGACTGTGACCATTATCCTGGTTTCCAAATACATTGTTTGGAGCCAATGCATGCAAATATTTTGCATGCTTACATGTAGCAGGCAAGCTTCCAGCAATATACACAGAGTATACTGGGCAGCAAATGCTGTCTACACTTTTCCTTCCACGTGTTACAAGTATTATTTTTGAAATTTCATGTTTTTTTCCAGATGGAAGATGCTTTGTGGTTTACCTGTTTTTCAAGTGCAAGGAGCTTTGGTTTCATAAGACAGAAGCACATTGATATGAAATACTTGTACGATGTTTGAGATGCCAGAATGATTAGGGATTTGGCAGAAAGGTCCCTCTGCTCCCTCTTTCACCTGCAGAGGTGAAGCCAGTTTTTGGTGGGTTTTGGGGGAGTTTGTGCACATGCTGTTGGAGCTCAAAGGCTTATTTTCATGCGTTCGTTTTGGGGTGACGATGCCTTAGATGCCTGCTGGTGAAAGAAACAACAGGATGTAGCACTGTGGAGTGGAAGCAGTTCAGTCAAACTAGTTACTGCCTTTTTCAGTTTCTGATTTGTCCTGAGTAACTGTTTCTATTCTCTGATGGGGGAAATAGGGGCAAAGCTGCTTTCATACCATGGAAGACACAGTGAGGAGCAGCCTGAACAGACGGTGCTTGGCATCGCCGTGGTGCTCCACGAGTGCCTTGGTGCAGCTCCAGTGTCTGAGCAGAGCTGCCTGTGGTTCATTTGCAGGGTCATTAATGTTTAAAATGTCTGCAACAAACTCAAGCTGGTTTGGAGATACTGAACTCTTTAAATCAGTAAAGTGCTGTTACACATGCTTGCTCATCTCTGCAGTGAAGTACCCCATGGTGGATGCTCCAAGGATCATCATCAGGATGAGGAGCAGGCACTGGTCACTCCCTTCACCTCTCATGCCTGAGCTGTAACACCTCTCATTTTAATGAATGTACTATTTTAAGCAATGTATTTTCTATCTTTTGGTCCTATAAAAGTGATCCCTGGGTTGATGTGTCCATCACAATTTTATTAGTATCAGTATGTATAGTAACCAAAGAAAACAAACTATCTTTACAAAATTCTGAGATTATTTTTTTAACCATTTTAATAATTTCTCCATTCCTTGACTCTGAAGCATGACTCTGAGATAGGGACTACATTGGTCGAAGTAGTAATTTATATAGAGACAAAAAAGATTTTTCTTTACATGTTAAAAGCAGACATTCCTCCATTCATTTAGATAAGTAATTAAGATGTTACATAGAAATAATTGTTTTCTACCACAGTTTTCTTTAAGTGCTTTTTTGTTTTTTAATTTTTTTGTCCAGTTGCTAATGTAGATAGAAGTGATTCTTACCTTACATTTTAATTGAAGTTGCTTCAATTTGATATATCATGAGTTGTTCTCTTAGTGCCATTTACAGTTCTTCTCTGGAGTTTTATATCAGAACAGGTCTAGAACTGTGCCTGCACCTGAGAAACTTAACAGCCTTTGATACTCAGTAGAGCTGATACGCAGTTTGTGTCAATTGAGGATCCAGATCAGTATCTCTTGTGGATTCTACCACAGAAAAACAGTAGCCCTCTTTCACCCATTGGTTGCTACAAGAACAATTTTGAGACATTTGGGCTTTTCTGTTTTGACTTGCTGCTTTTTCACTTTTAATACATTAACTCAGCACTTCCAATAGGTGTGAGAGTGGCTGTTTGATACTTCAGTAGCTTTCTGACCGACTTATTCACCTCAACTTGTTGTCCAAAAATAAATTGCAGGTTTTCTGAGTAACTTTAAAATAACTCAGAAACCCTATCTTAGGCAATGAGGAATGTGACATATATAACAGGGTACTCAAATGTGCCTGTAAAACAGCATGTGTTGCTGGCAGTGGATGTGACAGTGATATATGTGCCCAAACACATATAAACAGCATTGAACAGGGTCAGACAAGCATGTTTACTGTGCTAAATCACTGCACATGTCTGGCAGGGGCTGTGTTGCAAGTGCTTGAGTCTGAGCCCTCTCTTCCCTTGGGGCAGTCTTGTGTAGGGCTAGATCTGCTCTGCTGTGAGGACACTAGTGACTGTCCTGTGGACACCTGGATGGATGGGCTGGGAGAGGGGCCTGGTTTGGAAAGCACTCTGGGCTCTTCATGTCTCTGTGGTCATGGGAAGGCTTTATGCTTTCGCACAGCCACAATGTTGAGCAAGGAAAAATGTGGCTTTATACTCAAGCTGAACCCACAGCTGATGTTACACACAGTTATTTAGGGTGTCAATTCATTTTGACTTGAATTGCATTGTTCTCCAAAAGCTTTTTTTTTTTTTCTGTATTCATACTGCTGAAGTGTCAGAAGGCGCAAGGTAAATATATTAAAGACAGTATAATAGAACAGCCCAGGCTGGAGAGGGCATCAGAGCTCACCCTTCAGTGGAGCAAGAAGCCTAAATGAGACTATTACCTCCCACCCCAATGCAGTTGCAGCTTTGAAACCTGCAGTGGTGAAGACTCCACCACATCCCTGGTTGGTCCATGTCCTTACAGGGACTGAGTGTTCTCACTGTAAAAGATAAATGTGGCATACACATAAAAATTGTCAGCTGTGTATATAAAACTGAGCATCCCCATGCTGTCCTGGTGTAACAGGTGCTTCTTACATCTTGTCTTCTTCCACCCTCTTCAAGGATGTTTTTAATGTCTAACTGCTGTTTGCAGCACAGTCTTGTCTCTAGGTTGAGAAAAGAGGTGCAGCTCAGTTCCACTGTCACTCTTGTGAGAAAGCTGTGTCCAATGGGTAGGCTGGGAAGTGAAGTGTTACTGGGCTGTGCTACAACTCCTCCTGCAGCTTGGTCAGAGTTGTCATGTACACTCTTTTAAAATTGCGTGCATACCTCAGCACATTGCTGGCTTTAGTGGAACAACATGTGGCTCAGTGCTGATGGGAATACCATCCTGCATAATACTCGACTGTTAAGTTTCCTCCAGCCACATATTTCACTTTAACTGTTTGGTGCTGAACGCAGCACAAGTTGGACACATAAAAGTCATAGTGTTAGATTGACTCTTTGGTTTTAATGAGCTGGGGTGGGGGAAGTTTAATTTGCTGGGCTGCTTTTCCAAGCCTGTGCCAGAGACTTTTGACAGAAAGGGAAGATTAATGTTAGAGGCTGCAGTGTGGCACTGATTGCTGTAGAGCGCTCCACGCCAGCCCACCAGTGGGACCGTGCGGTGATTTGTAGTACAAGGGAGGGCTTTGTCTGCCTTTATCAAACACCACATTTCTAACTAGCTGCTTGCCAGAAAAGCACAGCAGGCATGCTAGAAATAGCCCTTCCCCTGCAAGGGAACTACTTCCATGAGATGCAGGATTAAATTAATTTTCCTCTGTTCCTCTGGAAAACAGATTCTATGCATTATTCTTTGTAATTGAAACTTCCTTTTATAAAAAAGTTGCTCTTTTAAGCAACTGTCTGCAAAAGTTACTTAATCCAAGCTTCTATTGAGACTAGAACTGGCCTTTGTAGGGTTTCTCTTGGAAAGGGGTGGGGGGACCGAAACCACTGCAAATGACTTTGGTCATTTGGAAGACCATATTGCCTGATTTAGCTGTTTAAGCTTGGTGAGGTATAAAAAGTAATTTACAGTCCAATGGTGAAAATTAATTTGAGTGCACAAAGCACTTGTAAGAATCACTTGCTGTGGACTTGAAGTGATTAGTTTAGAATTAAAGTAGTAAGTCCTTGGCAAATCTGAAGGATAAATCTCTATAAAGTATGGTTTACATCTTGTGAAAACAGCACTTCTTTCTTTCTTATATGCTGTAAACAGTCTCCCTTTCTGTGGCTAGCAAAGGGGAATGATGGATGGGTGAAGGTGTTTGAGTCTCTGTGAGCTGCCTGGGCTAGTTGCATCACACAGGGTTGGTGTGCTTAGGGGCTCTGTAGCACCCTAGCCTGCACAGGCAAGGCTACCCAGTCCTGTTGGGGCTGCTAACATTTGAAAAGTGACTCTAAGTGAAGGCAATCATGTAATTTTATTGATATCTATCATTCTGGTCTCAGCTTCCTTCTTGCATGTTCCTTAACTCAGGTAAATTGATGGATTTTCTTACAGTTACTACTGCCTCATGCTGGCAAAAGTGAGAATGGCTTGAGCAAAACTTGGTATTTGCATTTCATTGAGTATTAGAGCATGAGGTGAACCACAGGTTCCTGTCAGTGTGCAGTACTGGCTTATGTCTAATTGCGTTCCTTAATTAGCTGTTCTTTACTGCTGAATTGAGGGAGCATTGGTTTGTTTGTTCTGTTTTGTTTATATTTTGCTCTTTTTAGTATCAGTACTTGCTGTTATTTTTTTTTCATTTTGGTACCTTGAAAGGGGTGTGATTTCCTTTGAGGATGTCACTTGGGAACTGTCTAACTTTAAACTCTCTTGTGTGATGGTAGTGCCAGGAAACATAGAAGGTTGCTGGCAGGCAGTGAAATGAGGCACTGCAGGATGCAGCTTTTGGAAGGAATAAATCTTATATCCTGCTGCAGAAAGGAGAAGCTAAGAGAAATGAAAGAAAAGGTGTGAGACTGCCTGCATCTACACAGGAGAGATTTAAGGCTCATTGAGGTAACAGAGGGACACACAGGGCCACATTCTTTACTAGAGACAAGTGTCTTTCCTCTAGACGTAAGAAGAGTGGCAGTGTTGATGTGTTGGCTTTGTAGCTAACTGCTCTGTAGGCAAGGGTGCCTTTGCCATATTTCCAGGATTTCATTAAGTCTGATTTCCTTGCACTTGTGCCCCAGGAATGCAGCTGTGTGTGTGCTTGTATGGGAGATGCAGCACAAACAGGGCGAGCTGAATGCAGTGGGTGCGATTGCTCATTTGTTTATATGTAGTTTCTGGCCCTTTCATCTCCATAAAGCAGAACAAATCTGGCTTTTGACAGCGAATTGCCAAATTTGGATGAACGAGTCAGCAGAGCACGGCTTTCTGAACACTTGTGAACATCTGACTGAATGAGTGATGATTGTCTGAATGAATTGTACGTATCAGGTTATGACAAATCAACATGTTTTCCCAAGTTCAAGATGTATTTTTTTCATTGCTGAGAATTGCAGTTTGAAAATGATTATTTCTTCTCTTTTCTTCTAAAGGGTTTGGAGCTGCTCTTGCACGCAAGCCTGACATACCTTCCATGGAGGTTTCTCCTCCAAGTCCCAGTCCCCTGAAAAAAAGTGGATCAATCAACTGGCCTTTCCCTGATAGAATTAAATCTCCCAGGACCGTGAGGAAGCTTTCCATGAAAATGAAAAAGCTGCCAGAACTGAGCAGGAAGCTGAGTGTGAAGGGAACTTCAAGCCATAGTAGTTCAGATAATCCTCCTTCCCTGCTGAAGGGTAGCTGCCGGGATACAAGCCATACAGTGTCTTTGCCTTCTTCTGGAAACTCAACCACAGCTGCCAGCAGGAATGTGATAAGCCGTTACCATCTTGACAGCAGTGTGTCCTCACAACACACCTACAAAAAGAAGAGCTCAAGGAGCTCCAAATCCTTCAACAAAGGTGGTTACCTCAGTGATGGTGACTCTCCTGAACTTATAGCAAAATCAGGTAAACACAGACATGAAGCAAAGTATGGGAAAGGAAAGGAGAGCCTTCCAAGTAACAGTGGTAAACCTGAAATAGATATCGATGCCTTCAGACACTACAACTTTTCTGATCAACCCAAGTGCTCTCAGTACATCTCTGGACTCATGAGCATTCACTTTTATGGTGCTGAAGACTTAAAACCACCACGAATAGACTCAAAAGATGTCTTTTGTGCAATACAGGTTGACTCAGTAAACAAAGCAAGAACTGCCCTGCTCACATGTAGGACAACATTTCTTGACATGGACCACACATTCAACATAGAAATCGAAAACGCTCAGCACTTAAAGCTGGTGGTGTTCAGCTGGGAACCCACCCCACGGAAAAACCGAGTGTGTTGTCATGGAACTGTGGCTCTTCCCACTCTCTTTCGGGTCACCAAAACACATCAGCTGGCTGTCAAACTGGAGCCCAGGGGGCTTATTTATGTCAAGCTGTCACTCATGGAGCAGTGGGAGAACTCTCTCGATGGCCTTGATGCAGACCGTGAGCCTGTGATGTTTGGGGTAGATGCTCGAAAAGTTGTAGAGAAGGAAAATGCAGGCTTGATGGTGCCACTTTTGTTGCAGAAATGCATTCTGGAGATTGAAAAGAGAGGCTGTCAGGTACTGTGCATATTTTAATATCTTCTGTCAATATTTCTGTGTTGAGATAGCTGTTGTTGCAGTGTAAATAGTGAATGGAAATGGGGGAAATTAAAAGTGTCTTTACAAGTCAGTTTTTTTTCCCTTGCTGCTTGTGTGTGGTAAACACTGGCCATTGTAATGTGGGAAGAATAACAGGGCTGTGTGCAGTCAGTGCTTCCAGCTTGGCCTTTTTAGAGGAGAAGTACGCTTGCTTACAGGAGCTGCTCCCAGCAGAGCTTTAGGAGTGGGGACAGTGAAACAAACCTGCAGCCCCCAGTGTGTAGAGTCACCCTCAGAAAGCAGAGATAAGTTAAGAGCTGGAGAATGCTTGACCCCTGAGACACGGACCAGTCTGTAGGGATACACACCTGTGTGCAAAAATTGTATGGTTCACTGTTTGCTCCAACCCAAAGCTGAGCACTGTGTGCAGTGACACCGTGAGCCCATCTTTTGGCACAGTCTGAAGCCAGTGTGCCCAAGACCCATCTCTGTCATCACTTTGTGCACAGCATTAGGATGAGGATGAGTCCCTGAGGGGCTTTCTTTCCCCATACCACTGCTCCTTGTCTTTCTTCAGGTTGTTCTCGAAATTGGGACTGCTGCAAAGCAGAAGTGCCCAGTGTCTTTTTTTCTTTTCATCCTATTATTGGTTGATGTAATCTAATGAACAAAAATATGTATGAGAAATGAGGTATGGAAACAAATCACTGGTTACGGATGCTAGACAAGAGGTCTATTAGGAAGGACTATGCACAGTGCTAAGCTCAGATGTTCCCCTTGGCAATTAATTTGAAACTGATGGGAGGACTCTTGCCTGCTATTCCACAGCATATGTGAGCTCTCCTTGTCTTTTGCACCTGTTCTCACTCAGGTGAAATTGAGAAGTAGTGACACCTACCACTGTTACTATTTTAAATTGCTGGAAGGTTGGATATGCTTCCAGGTGTGATGAGATTAACTCTGCTGTTTATAACCCAAGTCATGAACTATAGATGGAAATGGAACTTCTATGTGGCTCTTTTGCCAAAAGTCTTTGCTGGTATTAACTGTGTGATTTTTCTTGTGGATACTTCTCCTAACATCCAAATAACTGGAAAAGAGAAGTTTTATTCTTTCCAGTATATGTGTTCTATGGTTTCAGCATTTTATTATGGGCTTACTAGCACCTAGTCATGCAAATGATATTGGGTAATCAAGGCAACACTGGTAATGAAGCAATTGGGATTTGAGTCATCTGAATGTACCTGATGCTTTTGAGTATGAAATCTATTTCTATATTTGCACAGAGAGAACCAAAACTGCAAAATATACTGTTAACTTCTTCTTTCAGCCACATGCTTGTCTGACTTTAAAAGTTTAGAAGAAATTGTCTTGGGCCTATACTAGATCATATTCAGTCTTTAGAAAGGGGGAGTACAAATTCCATTGGGTAACTTTCTGTTTATTTAAACAGGAATTAATATACGACCAGAAAAATAGTTTTGCTTGCATACCAGCATTCTCATGGTCTTAAGACAGTACAGGTGGGGTTGTTTGGTTTTGGATAATTTTTTGTTTTGAGTCCATGGCAGTTCTGAATTAATCTTTTACTGCTCAGTACAGCTGCCTATAATGCTAATTAAAATAAAATGAGTATTTCTAAGATGTAGTTTTGTAAGATTATTGGTGTGCTTTGTATAAATGGTGTTGATGAGAATGAGAAATATGATAAAATGGAAAATTTCAATACATGAAAGCACATGATTTAACTGGTAATTCATTTCAAGAGTGGTTTGGGTTTCACTCCTATTACTTTTAATTATGTTAAATAATACGTGTTTTGCAGAAAACTTTCAATATAATTTGAAACACATGAAAATCAACATCTTGTCAACTTTAAAACAACATGTTAGAGGTGTAATAATGGAGTAGTCATAATTTTCTTGAAACTCTGATCGAGGGTATAAAAATAAATTTTATTTTTTTTTACCACATAATGTAATACTGTAGGAAAATGTTTTCATTTATTATGGGTTTGTATTGGTTTATTAATTGATTTGTAACTTTCCTCATTTTTAGTATGGAGTCAGTTGTATGACTTTTTCTTCTGCTAATGATTAATAACTATATTTGTAGTGAAATTTTGTTCACATAAAGCTCTAAACTCTTCTCACTTCTTTCTGCTGAAATTCAAATTCTATTTTATATAATTAAACAGTTATGCCAGGAAAAGTAATGATGGTCTGAGTAAGTAGGGTGAGAAGCAAATATATGTTTAATCTGTATTTCTCTCCTGATGCTGCATAAAAACAAACCACGAAGCAACTCCAGTTTAGAGCTTGTGTTCTGTCGGTAAAGCCCTGCTCAGCACATTGGCTGAGGGAACAGGAGCATCCCTCAGTGATGCCCGCTGTGAGGTGTCCGACGCTGCGTGTGGTGATGGTCGGCTCCCTTTGGCTGTCCCGAGCTGCGTTCCAGGCAGCTGCTGCTGCGCTCTCTGGGTGACACAGCAGCAGGGATGTCCCTGGGCAGGCTGGTGGCTGATGTGGGGCCATTGTTTGTGTGTTTGTGCTTGCAGGTGGTGGGTCTGTACCGGCTCTGTGGCTCGGCAGCGGTGAAGAAAGAGCTTCGGGAGGCGTTTGAGAGAGACAGCAAGGCTGTTACTCTCTGTGAGAGCCAGTACCCAGATATTAATGTCATAACAGGTAACACATTTACTTGCTTTTCTTCCAACAGAGCTGTGCCATGTTCCTCATGTACCTTTAAAAGGGTGAAATTGTGCTTTGAACTCTGTTGTCATTTTAAGAAGCTTTTAGCTGCTGCTGAAAGCTGGCTGGGAATGAGTACAGTTGCTGTGGGGATATGTAAGTATGGATGAAGCAGCAGTGGTTTTTAGCGAGGGGAGGACATGGAAGGACCTGCTTTCAATAACTGCTCCACCAGGTACAGAGGGAAGTGGGAATCTGAAAGGATCTGGAGTCTTGGAGCTGGTTAAACCTCTGCCATTGGTTTGTATTGGAGCAGATCTGGGAAAGCTTGGTTGTGATCAGGCACCTCTGCTGTGCTGGTGGCTCCACACCGTGTAACCCAGGGCTGTCTTGGATCAACTGTTGTTCTCACCTTTATGTTGGAGATAGCAGGAATTATGGAAACAGATTTCCTGCTGCATTGTGCAGGCTAGTTAGAGCTGCAGGAAAGTGCCTTCATTTGATCACTGCTTTTTTAAAAACCTTGCTAAGCTTTCTCCTGCTCCCTGAGGTGGCCCTTTACTTGTTGTCACAGAGCAAGCTCCAGGCATGGGTAAGAAGGTTCTGGGAAGCCTGTGTCAGCTCCTTACATGGCTCTCTTCACAGGAGTTGTGCTGCAGAACTGAAGTCAGTTGGTGAGGTTTTTCTGGTTTGCTAAAAAGTGGAACAGTTTTATAACTATTGATACTTGTTATGTAAAAGCTAAAGTTTATCTAATTTCAGGCATCACTGAGTAAGTCAGTTGCTCTGAGAAATTAGTCAGAAGCGTTCACTTCCTGTATATCAAGGGATGGAAAATGTAACAGTAATTGGGGTAAAAAATTTCAATGCCAAAACCTTTTCTGTAATACCCAACATCCAGCTGTATAGGAGAGTTATACGCTGTTTGGTGGTTTATTTCATTTCAGTGTACTGGGAATTCATTTTGTTCATTACATTTTACAATTATACATGTTATCAGAAGATACTACTCGATGACATTTACTGAGTTACATAAACCTCTTGGTTCAGAGTGTACAGCCACTCAGTTTGCCTTGGCTGATTTTGCTGTGGATGTTTGCTGTTGATGTTGTTCACAAGCACCAGCATTCTCAGCATGAGAAACTTGTATTTATAGAATTATAGAATTGTTTAGGTTGAAAAGACCTTTAAGATCATGAAGTCCAGCCATTAACCCACCAGTGTTTCACTCTGATGTTGTACAGCTTTTATAAACGAGGTGTGTATGGTAAAGGTTAAAAGTATAAATTATCTTTTAAACTGAGTGTTTTTCTTGTCTTTACAAATAAATTCGTGGGAAAAAGTGGTGAGCACTTCCAGGATCAGATTGTTCCATAAAATTACTGAAGTCCTATTTTCTCAATTTTTTGTCATCAACTTATAGTAAAACCCTTCTGTTGCTTTCTGCCAGCAGCAAAAGCTGTCTGACACTGACTTGTAAGAAGAAAAATGGCAAAGTGCAGTTAACATTGGTTAATGTAAACTTTGGGGTGCTGAAACTTCGGTGTTACTTTTTAAAATTTTAGATATTAAAAGTGGCATTACACTTCCATGCTACAAGTAGTCATTAAAATAAAACAGTATTTGTAGAAATGGTTCAGGGTTATCATGTGGAAAGGGTGTAGGAATTTGATACTTAAGTGTATACAACAGAACCTGGAACATTTCCTAAGCATTTTGATTTTCCTGAGTATATTGTACACTCAGAACCAACCAGAACTGGCTGAAGCCAAAGTCTGAACTGCAGGAGAGCTCAGTGCTACTGCAAAGCTCTGGAAGGGCAGTAACACAGTCTGACTGATCTTTCCCTCCTGAGTTTGTTCTGTGCTGGTAGAATGGAAAAACTGAAGTACGCTTTTCCATACACATTCCTGCAAGCCTTGCTGCTGGTGGTGATCTTTTGGTGACCATACAGGTGTGGCTTGGTGGTGGTACTACTGGGAGATACTACTTTGCATCCAGGGTTTGCATTGCAAGAGTGAAAAGACTACAGCTTTGTTTTCTGCCTTACAGGAAGTCTACTGGGTGTCCTTTAGTTTGTGTTCCATTGCAAGAGTTTACTTACATGCTGCTTTCCTTACAAGGGAAAAAGAGTTTTAAGGAATTACATTAGAAAAGCAGATTATTTCCCCTGGTAGCCCTGCAGCTGGGCTGTGCAAGTGCCTGCACTGCCTGTGTCAGTGTTGTGCTGCAGGGGCTCTGGGGGCTGGGGGAGCAGGGAGGGAAGGGGTGTTGGCATCCCTAGCTTCCACTGACCACAATGCAGCCACTCTAATTATTGGAAACAGCCTGCTGTGGATTGGTGGGGTAACCTACAGCTTTTGTGGACAACTGAGTTAGCCACTGTGTTTGGTGCTAGGAGTAAAAGAGCCCACAAAATTTACTGCGTGTGCTTAGGGAGTTGGGTTGAGAGGGAATGTTTCCCCTGATTACTTAATGCTGAGGCTGGCGCACATGATTCATTCTTCTATCAGCCGAAACATGTGTTCCACAGAATATGAATCCTCAGCATCAATCTTGGCTGATTTGAGGAGAAGTGTTGCCTTATGTCCTTTTTGAAATTTGAGTAGCGCTCCTTTCCAAAAAGATGAAAAATACTATTTTTTTTGACAGGTCTCCAAAGACTAAAGCATGAACATTTAATGATTAAATGTTGACTGAGAAATACTCTTGGGATTGGCACGGGCTTACACACAATGAAGTGGGCTCATGGATCAAACTGAGGTGTGCAGCTCATGGAACTGACCTGTAGCCATGTTGTTGCATCGTGTCTGTTGGCATCCACGTGAATTCATATCTCTGCTTAAAGCTTGCAACACTCTTAAAGCTTGCAACAGACTCTTCAGTGGGTCTGAAAAATGAGGAATTAGTGAAGTGGATGGCAATTTCTGCTCTGTCTAAATTTGTTGTGTGTGGCTGTGTCAAGAGGAATGTGTCAAGTGGGCTAGCAGCAGCAGGAAGCGTAGATTCATGGAAAAAAAATAACAGCAGCCTCTTAGAGGGCTAATTTAGCTGAGTGAATAGCAAGAGGATTTAGAAAGGTCAAGGGGCATTCATGGCTCCCAAACTATCCTGTTATCCAGAGCTGAACAGGAGAAAGTTCTTTGGCAGGTGATAGTCCTATGATTATGGATGCTATTGTAGGAATTCCTGCTAAATAATTATAATAGACATTTGTGAGTGTTTAGTATAAGCTAATTTGGTTAGAACATACCATTTCCTACTGTAAGCTAATTTTGATTTCAGCCCTTGCCTCCAAAGAAAGCACAACTGAAACAGAGCTCTTGATAGAAGTCAGCATCTCTTGCTAATGTTTTGCTTAGGAAAAAAGGAAAATATCCCAGACCATGTTGTACAGCACTAGCATGTGCCACATTTGTTTCATAAGTATTTTAACTAGCTAATCCACATAGGGAACGTGAGTCTCTAAATTCAGGGAAGAAAAACTATTTTGTGGGAAGGGAGGAATATGAGTAAGTTACTAAACAAAAACTAGCCACTTTAGTGGAGAAGTACCAAAAGTGCATATTCTTTTTAAAGCAAACAAAAAATCCCACCAAACCACCAGAGGAAATATTTTTTCATGAAAAAATGGTTGTTTGCATATTTTGTGTTCCTGAGGGGATGTTCCCATTTTAAGCACAGAGTGAGCTCCTGGAGGCCGAGTGGTGTCTGCAGAGAAGGTTTGGCCTGCCTGCCCCATGCCTGTGCTGCAGCAGGAGGGGATTTGGCAGCTCAGGATCTGGGCACTGCTGCTTCATGTAGTGCTGCTCCTGCAGCACAGCTCCGGGAGCTGCACTGCTGCAAGTCCAGGATTCCTTTTTAAATGAAAATATTTATACAGGTAGAAGACAACTCTCACGTGCATTCTGCATGTGAAGGGCAAAATGTTAACTTCTGTTCCCTGTACGTTTTTAGAAACTACCTTGTAACAAAGCCCACCCTGTGCAGTTCGTTTTACAACTTGGCTACACAGACTTGAGTTACTGAAAACTGTTGCTTTGTTAAATAGCTCAGTGTGATGGTAATTGCTGTGATGTGAGATTGTGTGAGGTTGTGAAGAGTGCTTGCTGAAAAAAATTTTCTGCTTCTCCAACTTTACCTCTTTGGAGGACAGGCTGCTTTGTTAACTGCAGTACCTGCTTTTAAACAGTTTCTTTCATTCCAGCAGTTCTTTCTAACAAAGTATTTAATGCAGTTGAAATCCAGCTAAAATTAGTAAATATTTGTGGCACAGAAAGCAATTTTTTAAGGAAAATGAAAACTGCTGGGAAGCAGGCTTGTTTCCTTCGGTTTTTTTTTGATTGTGTTGGATATTGCTCCTGGATAGCATCCTGCTATGTCCTTTCAAGAGGCTGCTGTTAGAAGCCTTGATATTTTGTTTCTTTTTCATTATTATTCTTCCAGTCACTGAAACCTCTCAAAATGAGGTATCAGCCAGGTTCCAGAGCCAGCTTACAAGAATGCAAAGGCTCAGTTCCCCTTTGGAAAGAGCAGGCATTAATGAGGCATTAATGTTGCAATCCCGGGGAGCAGCCTCTCCCCCAGCACACCTCCAGCCTCAGAAACAGTGCAGTATTTCTCTGCAACAGGGAGGACTCAGTGCCTGGGCATATATTTTAGGCAGTGTCTCCTGTGGGCGTGAATCACATCTGTCACAGCAGGACTGTGTGGTGTGTGGGGCTGCAGGGTACCCAGGGCCAGCAGGGAGTTGGTGGCTCTCTCTCTCATGAGGACATGTTTGGTTTGTGCTTGGCTGGGTGTGAAGACACCATGTGCTTTGCTGTATGGGCACTGGGATGTTTGCTCATAATTTTATAGCTGGAAATAAACAGAACAGAAAAAACTAGCTGATAGACTTATGTAAAAGAGGAAGGGTCATCAAGCTGGACCTTGGTGTTTGTAGGAGCTCCTTTCCTTGGATGGGAGGTGGACTGAGCCCTTTCCTTGCCTCCCCTCACCCTGAATGAGAGAAGCTGGGAGAGATGTTCTCCTGGTGCCCAGTGTCCCCACTCCTGCACATCAACAGCCACTGTGTTCCAGCCCCTCTTTGCTGTGCCCTTTTGGTGTTGACCTCCCATCCCTCACTCCTGGGTGCAAGGTTTGTCACTGACACAGAGGATTTTCTTGTGGGATGGGTGAAGTTGATGTGCTTTAATCAAGTTCCCAAAAATTGCTGCAAAGTGAATCTGCAGCTTGTTAAAGGCAGCTGTTGTGTCTCATTAGGTGTCCTAAAGGATTATCTGCGAGAGCTGCCCTCTCCCCTAATAACCAAGCAGCTCTATGAAGCAGTATTGGATGCCATGGTGAAAAATCCCTTGAAAATGACAGCAAATGGTTGTGAGAATGACCCAAGTGATTCTGAGCACACAGCAGCCCTTCTGGATTGCCTGCCAGATGTTGAGAAGGTGAGTAGTGTAAACACATTCAAGTAAATCACGAGCTTCAGAAACTAAAGGAACATTTTCACACTGGATATAAAATGTCTCAGAACTGTTTATCAGATCAGGTGGTTCACTTGGATTTGTGATGCTCCATATACTTGAAAGTAATTCCATTCTGCAGTGAATTAGAAGGTCTGCGTTGCTGCATTTGCTCTAGTTTTCATTTTATATTGTTTCTTTAAAATGAGTGAAAGGCTGTGATCTTTACTTTTACATGATTAGATAAATGATTATTCCTGTGTGTTGTCCTGCCCCATTCTGCAGAGCCCTCTGACCTGTATGTTGTAATTACCTGGGCAGATCCATTCCTCAGTATGTGCAATAAAGCCTTTGCTTCCCCTGCTGTGCAGTGTAAGAGGGCTGTGCACTCTTACCTGCCAAATTCTTGTGTAGCAAACCACAGCCCCTTCTGGGGGGAGGGAGCAAGGGGCCTGCATGCTATCTGGAATTACCTGGAAGCTTGTTCAGATGCTGACAGCATTTTTCTTTTTTTTGATTTGTTTTCTAATGTACCTGGATCATCTGTGCTGCTTCTGCAGCCTCCACTCCCTTTCTGATGTACCCTTTTTACTGTGAAAAAACTCATCCGTGTGAAACTGAGCTCAGATAAGAAACAAGCTGAGCTTTACCAGAAAGTCTGTCTTAATTGGTCTGCTCTGTCCTAGTCAAATACAGCTTTTCTAATTCAGCACTTGGATGTTCTGTTGATTGGTGTTGGCAGTAAAACCAGGGCTGTCAGCCTTGATCTTTTCCCTGTAGAGCCATGACCAGCACTGTTGTCTAGTATTTGGTTTCGTGAGCAGTATTTTGTTTCTTTAGGCTACCCTGAAGATGCTGTTGGATCACCTGAAACTGGTGGCTTCTTACCACGAAGTAAATAAGATGACGTGCCAGAATTTAGCTGTGTGTTTTGGCCCTGTGTTACTGAGCCAGAGGCAGGAGACCACCAACCATAACAACAGAGTCTTCACAGACTCAGAAGAGCTTGCTAGTGCCCTGGACTTCAAAAAGCACATAGAGGTTCTTCACTACTTACTTCAGTTGTGGCCAGGTACTTTCATGAATCTGATCAAGGAAAAAAAGTCAAACCATTGCTGTGTGTTTGCACTGTGTGACACTGTACATCAATTCACAGGATGATTGAGCGGCATCAGAATTCTTAAAGTGGGAGATACTGTGGCATCACCTATTAATCTAAAGAAATTATGACGGTTTCTATTTGGGCACTTCACTAAATGGGAAGTTTGTTGGTTTAATTGCTTTCTTACCAGATGGCAGTTTGAGTATAATGTAAGAAATAGTGAAGACTTTATGTGAATAAAGACACTAGAAAGTACAAACCCAGTGACATTAAAGTTTCCACATCTGAATTAGAGAGGTTGGAGATTTTTTTCCTTCTCTCCAGCTTTGTCCTGATGGGGTTAATTTATTTCTGCCTTTGTAATTTGGCAGAGTTGAAGATATTCTTAGAGTAAGAGCTCTGCAACTTCTACTTGTTTTTGCAGAGCTTTGCATCAGGAAAAATGTTGCTGTTCCACGGTGGGTTTGAGGTGACTGAAGATGCTGCTGCTTGCTTGTCAGCTGCAGGTGGACAGCTCCAAAGCTGCTGATCACCAAAAATGAAAAGAAGCTTTCAGTCAGATGAGTGGGTCTGTGCAGGAGAGATGGGGCACGTAGGTGGAGGAAGAAGGAGACCAAGAGCTGTTAGGACAGCAAATACTGGGCAGAAACTAATCTTGAAACCCTGAGGATGAATTATGGCATGGCTGCTGTAGACTACAAAACCAATGGATGTAGCTCTGCTCATAGGAGTGTGTGTCTGAGAGGGTAGGAGTAGGGTAAGTAGTAGAGTTTTCCTTCACTTAGAAGAAAAAGCAGAGTCCTATCCCTTGGCTTGCAAGAGCTGTGCAGGATGTTGTGGAAGAAGGGAGGTAAAACACAAATGCGGAGACTTGAGTAGGTGAACACCACACAAGTTACACTGTGTGTAAACAGCACACTTGGGCTGAATGGAAGGATCACAGTCTGGTCCCTTATATTTAATCTTCTGTAGTTTGAGACAGCGTGATAACCAACATGTTGTGCAATACTTCGATTTCCGTATATTTCCAACCGAAAACAAATAGTCCTTGTTTGGTTAGACCGTGTAACACTGGCAAGTTATTGTTAACCCATGGCCCTTCATCTTAGTGGAGCATAGTCTAAACAGAAGGGTTTTTGTTATAGAAAGAGGCGGGGGAAAGCAGTGAGAGTTATTGCATGTTACTGTGCAAGACATAAAATAAAGTCCCCTGGAGAGACCTGTAATGTGGATCCAGAAGGAGAAGGATTTGGCACATTTCAGGACTGAATCTTTGTGCTTGTGTGCGGGGAGTCTAACAAGGGGAGGGTCAGATGGTGAACTGCATGGGTTTGTGTGCACTGCCTTTTCAGTGGTGAATGGGAATAGGAAGTCTCTGCTGCTCATTACAAGAAGCAATGGTCTGTATAAAACCAGATGTTTGCCTTAGGCAGTGGGTAAAGCGGGAGGAGCCTTTTGGTAACTTGTGCTGTGCAGTCGTGAGCTCAGGTAACTCTGCCAGCAAAGCCATGTGAGTGTGCATCTGCTTGTGGCTCCACAGCAGGATGACTGCAAGTGAGCTTCTGTAACAGCACAGAACCTTAGGGCAGAGGAGAAGCACGAGAGCACAGCTCTGTGTGCTGTCAGCTTCTCTGGGTTTTTCTCAGTGGTGGTATTTTTTTGTTGTGTTTTAACCTCTTTGCTGTGCCTGCTTTCTGTTACTCCTTAGCCTGGATGAAGTGTGTGAACTGAGCTATTTGCTTTTCTTTGACCCAGAGCTGGATGGTGATTAGCTTGTACAACGAATTTAATTTGTGTTCAGGGAGTTTCTACTTTTAGAAAGGCTTCTCTGCTGCAATTTGAATCTGGCATGAATATTCAAAATTGAGATTTTTACAGTAAAAACAGTAGTTTTTCCTAATCATTTTATATCAAACAATAGCAAAAAATGTGCAATATGTTGACTGTAAGATTGCATGTGTTTGTGCATGCTCTTAGTGGGATATGGATGGAGACAGTGAGCATCTGCCATGGACTTTTTTGTTGCAGCATGGATTGAGTTCTGACTGGTTTAACTTCTCTCTTCTAGTTCATCACTCACCTGCCAAAGAAGCATCACATCTGAATGCATTTACTGAGCACTCATCCTCCCTGAATTACCTGAGACCCAAGAGGCAGAGACCTCAGATGCTGAATCTGAGCGGCACCGAGGTGTCGGGGCTGCTCAGACCAAGGCCGGCAGGTCTAGACAGCCCATCGAGCAACCGCTACGCTGGGGACTGGAGCAGCTGTGGGGAGAACTATTTCTTAAACCCCAGGGACTGCCTGGGTGAGGCAGACTATGATGATGTCCCTTCAGAGGACACAGAGAGTGGAGATGACAGCAGCAAAGCCGAGGAGCTGGACGCTCCTGCGAGACGCCCTGAGCCCAGCCCCGGGGAGCACCCCTTTGGGAGCTACCTGACAGTGCAAGCTATAGACTCTGCAGTGGATCACAGGACACACCTCAAGGACCTGCAGGAAAGTATTGATACTCTCATAGGAAACCTGGAAAGGGAACTCAATAAAAACAAACTAAATATGAGTTATTAAATCCTGTCCTGCGTAACATCTCCTTGTGCCTCCATGGCCCTTGTTGGGCTTCCCTAGCTGTGTGAGGAGTGACGGTGCCCCTGAACACCTTGTGGTAAGGCCACGGCCCACCTTGTGTTAGCACATTTTAAGCCATTCCGTAATGTTTCTGCCTTTCTGTCTGAAGGCATTGTCTTGATTTGTGTTGGAGACAAGCTTAGACTGTGATGTGATTCCACGTAGTGGCATTTCTCCCTAAAAACACTATGCACTTAGGTGGCCTGGGCAGTACCTGATAGAAGACAAAGCAACATCTTTGCTGTCAGTGGCGGCAGAATTCCTCATTCCTGGCTCCAGTACAGATGTTCCTCTCAGAAGAGGATGAACGCTGCTCGGCCTGACTTTTGCAGCAGGGACTTGAGATGGACCTGTTTTACTATATATGCAATGGCTGCTATGAAAAATGCTTTATATAATATTTATATATAAAGTTTTAATTGTACAAATATTAACATATTACTGTATTAACACTTTTCGGTAATTATTTAAACAAGCAAAAATAAATATTTTTCTAACCTTGTTTGTACATATATATGTATAAATGTGCATGTGTCTGTAGCCATCTTTGAAAAGGAAAGGTCTCAGAATTATGAAATGTTCCCATTTCTAGGAAGACATGTTCAGTGATGCCAGGACAAGGTTACCCTTTGGGTAACACAGCATTTGATTTATGCACAGAAACATGGCCAGAGAGAAGGTAGGGTGAATGATTAATGGAAATGACCTTGTGTATTGCAGGAACAGCTGTTTGCAGGTGTTCACTATTAACTCTCACACACACACCACCCTTTCTCTGTTTGTTTGGGTTTTTTTCCTTACTGCATTGTTTGTTTCTTGCTCCATGTTGGTTTTTTTTTCACATATAAAGAAGGTCTGGACGGTATTTACTTTTCAAAAATTATTTTTTGTTTTTCATTTATAACCTGTTACTTTATTCTCGATGTTTTGGTACGTATTTTTCCTTTCCAGAGTTTCATGTATTATTGTTGTGGTACCCTTGGCTGCTGCTGGTAGTTAGATACATTTGAGCCCTGTAGAGGGTTGTGGCTCTGGAGATGCAAGTTGAGCACAAAGCCAGTTACTTTTTTTTTTTTTTTTTAATTACTCTCCCAAAAATGGACACTAGAGTTGTGACATGAGGTTGGGTGGGTGGAGTGATATTACTCCTGGGGAGTTTGGGTGGGATTGCACTTCACTGTGACCTTATTAGATTGAGCTATCACCATCTGCTCAGAGCCTCTTTTATCTCTAGTCATTTATGGTGAGCCACTAACACTAAACATTTCATGTTCAGGGAACACATTCTTGATTCAGTTAAAAGTAGTTACCAAATTGTCCTTCTAACCAAAAGGATGTACAGAGTCATTCCTTATCCTCTACAGGTCACTTGCACACCCCCAAGGAAGGGGGGATTTGGGCAGGTGAGAAAGTTTTGGTGTTTTGAGAGGTCAGTTGCTGGCAGGGTAGAAATTAATTTTACATCTTTATGGTACTATTTTTGACATCCCACCATGGCTTTCCATTCATCCTGTGGGTAAGTGCATTTCTGCTAACCTGTGCTTCCTTATAGGGCTTAATTGAAGAGTTATTTATTGACAGTAGCAAGGAATTAGTAATTATGTAATTATGGCAAACTTCACCCCTCTTTTCTAAGGAATTATTTTAGCATGGTTCCAATGGTTTATTCAATCTCATTAATTTATTTTTATAAGTGTTAAGAGATGCAAAACAATTATTGCAATATAATGATATGAATGAAAATGTAAATTTAACCTGAAGCATTTATCAATAAATCAATGTATTTTTTTAAACTTTTATACCTACAGAATGTGCATACTTTTTAAACTATAAATTTAAATTCTAAATAAAATTTGAATTAAGAACAAAATCTGTCTGTGCCTAGCTTGTGATTATTTAAACCAGTCTAAGCTGTTGTCATCCATTTGCACTGGCTGCACACGACTTAATTCCTTAAAGACATATAGCTTTTCAGATATTTTGTTCTTTTGTCATGTCTGGATTGAACCAATGTTTGAGTTAGATAATGCAAAAAAAAAGCACTACTCCATTAGCACTCATTAAAGATGCTTGCATTTAAATTTACTTTTTAATCTTTCATTGTCTGAAATAATCCAGATGATCTAAGTGGTCACCTCTTGAATGCATGTAAGCTTTTTTGCCAGGAGGGCTCTGTAACTCGGGGCAGCAGTGCATTGCTCTGTCAACTTTAATATTTTAATATTAAAACAATGGAAATTAGTGACTTGATAAATTGTATTCATGTTAATATCATGAGTTAATTTAAATACTTTAATGTATTGTATTGCTCAAACATTTCTTGCTAAAACACATTTATCTTAAAAGTCCTCCTTTAATGAGACATTTCCCAAGTGCTATTTTTGTTATGTTATCCCTTATATATATATATTCTTATAGCTATTATATTTCATATAGTCAGTTATATAGTCTGGTCAAGCTGCATTCTTTTTGTGATTGTTACAGATTCTTAAGGAACAGGATTATTGTGGGAATTACCTTAATCTAGGAACTAGGAAATTGGGAGATTAAAACAACCTGCTTCTACCAAAGCAGTAATTAACTTTTACACAAAAGGGCAGCCTCTGCCTGTGTGTGTGGTTGCAGGGTAGAGCTCCTCCAAACGCTGTAGCCACGGCCAGGAGTCCCCTTTGCTGTGCTGACCTGTGATGTTGTGTGCTTGGTGGGACTCCTTTGGCAACAGGAGCAGCTCCTGCTCACCAGGGACTGGGAGAGGTTAACGGCAGAGGGCAGAGCCTCTAGTGCAGTTCAGAGAACAAATTGTCCTTGGAGTACATGGACTTCCTTCAGGTGTGACCTCTGTTTCCAGGTAAAGAAAATGGGTGTGGGTGCTTTTATAGAGGCAGTTCCAGAGGCACCAAAATCCCATACAAGTGGTTTTACCCAAGCACGAGCCGCTGATGGCCATGTGCAGGGCTGGGTCACAACCAAGAATTGTAGTTTGTAGTCCCCAGGGAAAATCAGAAATGCAAAGGTAGGTTTGTGTCATTCTTTGCTGCCAAGTGCTAGGGATATGATACACTTAGGTGGATTTAGGAGCAGACTAGGTCCATTGGTAGAGTTTTAATCCTTTCCTGTTTGTTTAAATAGGATTTTCTACATTCCAAACACTGCTGGTGCTGTGTGGCTGATCCACCTTTTCTCCCCCTTTTAGCTTCGGAAAGTGCTCATTACAGGAGCATGCAAGAGGTGGGTGGGGATGGTGTGGGATGTGGACTAGTGGTGTGGCATGACCTCAGGCTGGCTTAAGCCATTGGGAACACACATGCTCAGAAACTTCAGGTTTTTACATCTGTCTTTCACAATCTGTAACCTATATGTATGTTTGTTAATGCACCAGACAAGAAATGGATCTGCATCTATTCAGACGTGTTCTAAAAATAGAAGGAAACATCCCCAACAGATAGGCAGGATTTTTACAGAATAAATCTATAAATCTGGTAAACCAGAGACACATGTGGTATTTCTGCTGTCAGATCTTAACCCTTTCACTTTCATCCCCCTCCCAGGGAATAGGATGGGGGTACTGGGATTCTTGACAGTAAGTGTATTTTGATATAGGAAGCTGTTGTCTCACATTCTGGAGCTAACACAAGCTGAAAGATGGTTATTTGGGGTGTGAAGGGCACTGATGTTGCACTGTCATGTAACTGATATGTTTACTTTAAAATGTCATCCTACATAATGAATTTACTGTTTTCATTCTGCTTGTCTCTTAGAACCAAGCAGGAAAACCCTTAATGTGTCCTAACATCTTCAGGGCAAAATTGGAATGGCCTGACATGAGATGATGCAAAGCTGACTCTACAGGTATTTGAACATCTAGAATTGTATTAGACAGATAAAAGAATCCTGATGGGATGTATAATCTCATGTCTCCTGTGTTACTTGGGAACAGATGAGGAGGAAAACAGCTCTCAGGAAGATTATTCCCATTCCACTGGGGCATTCCTGCAGCTCCCCAAACTACTTTGCTCGAGGGAGGGAGGGTAGCTGATAAACAGAATCCTGATCTGCTGCCTCTTTGGCCTTACTCTGAGGAAAACCCATCTGAAATCCCTCTGTCTTTTGGAATATTTTCTTAATCAAAACTCTTAAAGAGTGCCTCTGTGGTGGGAACAAGGCTCCCGTTGAGGCTGCTGCCTCTTCTGGGGAGTAGTAACAGAGCTGCAGTGGAGGGGGTTAGCTGGGCTTTCTAGATAAGCCATGACCATATGATTGACTTATTTATATGTAGTTTGCAGCCCTGTTCAATCAAAAGAAATCTGTGGAAGATGTTCTGAGGTGGTATACTAATGAAGTCCAAGCCTGATAATAGGTGAGCTTTTTAATTAGTCAGTTGTATGATATTTACAAATCTGTGTAGAGCAGGCTGTTAGTTAAATATTGATTTAGCAGAGGAGCAGTGTTCTTTTCCTGTTTGTGCTGACTGCAAACACTGTGCTGCAAGTGCTAGAGACATGCTTGTTGAATTTTCCTTGGTTTAAATTTACAACTAGTTCAATGTGAAGGACAAGGAATATTGCTATAATATTTAAACTTCAGAGTAGCGAACAAGAGACCATTTTTCAAACCAAGTGGCTCCAAACCTCTCTTAAATCTGACCAAAGTTCAATCAAAGTCCTAGAAGTACATGATAGGGAGATCCTGGGTGTAGAAAATTGAAGGGGCATGTCTTTAACACTGCCTAACCCCAATTTGCAGTGTTTATTTTGGGTTGCAGGAGCCTCACACTGATCCTGTTTTCTCTTTGGCTGTGCTTTACTCTGATGAAGCAGAGCACTGGGGCTGGCTATTGCTTGTCAGCTGAAGATCCTCTCTGCAAATCCCCTGTGTGTCAGTTGTCTTTTGTGCTTTAGTGTCTACTGTGACCACATGGACATTTGTTTGACAGGAGTCTGTGACCCTCAAACAGTTTGGTGAGTCATGGAAAGAGTGCACTCACCCGTATAGAGTTTAATCTATCCTCTGACAGATTCAATTTCTGCCTGGCAGGCTCTGCTCAGTTACGTGGTGTCTGACCTGGCTATTGAAACCCAGTAGCAGAGAACCACTTACCAAAGAGTCCTCTCTGGATGGAGGGTGGGCATTAATATTCATGAGCTGTTACTTATTTACACAGCTTAATATTAAAACTTCTGTATAACACCATTTGATCTCTCTGAGGGATAATTGTCTTTTGACAGAAATGCAGCTACAGAGAGCTTACTAAAAGCTGTTTGTTCTAAATAATACTGACTTCTTTGAGGGAACAATATATTTTAATGGACTTGGTTTTCTGTTTGTAAGCACTTGCCAGGATTAAGTAACAATATGTTTGTAAACTGATGATAGCAAGTAAAAGTGGTTTAGAGTCCTGACAGGGCTTTGAAAACTGTTATTTAAAGAGAATATTCCTTATAACTGTATTAAGGAAAAATAGTGGGGAAACTGGGTCCAAATCAATTTTCTTTAGCCACACTGTGAGTAAAGAGATAGATAAGGTTAATGAAACAATAATATCTTGCTGCAAGATTCTTTATTTCCAAACCTAAACATCTTCTGAAATAGAAGTCTTTCAATAAAAGCTTGCTGGTTCTAAAGGTGATAACGGGCTATAAGCATCCAATGAGGAAAGTATTTCTTATCTCTAAGTCCATTGCTATCTGCTTCAATAAAATGTGTGCTCCAGAAGCACAGTATAATGTACCTTTTCTTGATCCTCCGTCTCTTCTTTTGTTTTCTGTGGTCATACACTGAAGGAAAAAAAAACATCAATAATGCACTGTTAAGCTCTGAAACCTGTATTGACCCCATTACCTTCCAGTGTCAGTGCTGTCACAAATTAATGAGAATAGGCATCACCATGGGCTGCATCAATCAACCAAATAATAATAGTATTATTAAACCATTTACTAAAGAAGGGATAGGCAAAATTCTTCTGTGAGTAAAGAATGGAAGGCTGGAATCCATCCTTGTTTGAAGGAGCAATGTATATAGGGAAGTTGACAAAATGTAACTTTTTGAACAAGCAGCTGGTGTAAAATAAAAAGCAAATTTATAGTTGTTAAATGTCCATAGGCTCTAATGCTCTTGCAGGGGGCTCATTTGACCAAGAAATGCATCACGTGAACTGGGACCATCTTTTCAATTCTTAAGAACTCTAAATATGAAATAAAGAACTGTTAAACAGTTCTGATTATGTCCATCCCGCTTTTTTTTTTTTAAATACTGTGGAAAATCCTGTCTAGCAATACAGGTGTATTTTAAAGATACAAAGAAACACAGAACTTTTTCTTAATTCCAAGTATGACATACTGTTTTCTCTGTCTCCAGTCGCATTTCAATTCTGTTTTGGCTTGAAACTTTTGATACCCTTTAAACTCCTCTTCACAGTACTTCAGGTATCTGACTTCTCTTTCAAAGTAGTTAAGTATGTTGGTATGCTGTAAACACAGTGACAAGCAAGGGTCGTTACATACTCAGAGACAGAGATGTCTTGCTCATGATCTGAATGCTATCAATATTTTATCTAAATTGGAAATATAAATATCTCTATTTATCCCAGCAGTTTGCAGCAAAACAATATAAAGATGTGACCAACTTCAGGCACAAAAAACCCATAAACTGCCATACTTTGGTACTACACTGTCCGTTTATTTTATCTGGGATTCTGTGTTTCAGTTTTTATTAGTCTCTTCAACAGCCTGGTATTTTTCAGTGAATACTTCAGTTACAGTGAACGTAATCTAAATATTAGTGACTGTTCCTTGGTTGGTAATTCTGCACCCTGAAGAGTTTAGTTCCAAACCACAGGTAATCTGTCAGAACCAATGTGTTTCCTCGTATCACTCAGCTCCTGCCTTGCTTTGGAGAAGTTATTTTTACTAAAATGAAGCTGCTGACGTGATGTTTTATTGCTACCTATTGCAGCTCTGTGCATGGCAAATCTTTATGGGATGTTTATAAACTATTTAAGTGCCTACATAAACATAAAACTGCAATAGCATGGGAAGATGGTTTTGTGATGTAAGAGTAACAGACAAGGCAGCAGGCAGGACTGCTAGACTGACACACTAGCTCAATCTTTGGCTGGGAGGTGGAGGGAAAGAAAAATTGAAAACTATGTAGAAAAAAAGAAATTAAAACTGCTTGCATTGTTCCCATGGCCTTTTGGTACACATAGTCCTTATTTCAAGAGCATGAATGAGTGGGAATGTTAGTAAGAGTTTTCAAAATGTGCTTTCACTGAACTGGAACCAGGTATGAAGATATGTAAATTGAATTGCCAAATTTAAAGGAAAAAAATTAACACAAATGTGGATGAGAAGGTTTAAAGAAAAATGAATTCAGTATATACACATTACTATGCACTCTGAAACATTGTTTTACTGCATGAAAGGTGTCATTTTATGGATGTGGCAAAAAATGCTGACCTCTTGTGTTTTCATGTTGCCAGATTGGAACAGTGGAATTCTGCCAACTGTCACTGAGATTTCCTTTACTTGACTCTTATCTAAGCTCTGTACAAAGCCAGATTGGCTACAGGTGATCTTTGGAGAATATGTCTATACTGATCTCGAATGAACTGCCATTATTTGAAGGTATTTTTGTCTAGGCAGACTTGTTTCTGTGTTGGAGTTTTCTGGATAAAGTGTCAAAGATTTAATAAAAATTCTTACTAACCTCATTACTTGAAGGGTGACATAGTGTTTGACAGATTTCCAAAATATGCAGAACTCCAAGATTGTCAGAAACAGCCAAAAAATGCTGCTCTGCTAAAAGATATTTGACAAAAAAAACATATAAACAATCCAAATTCCAACAACAATGTGAACCTCCACCCAAAGACAAGCTACAGAGGGTTCCTTTTTTTTTTTTTGACTTTTTAGTTTATTGTTCACTGCAGCAAAAAAGAAGCAACCTTATTGCTCTGTTATTTTATTAATCCCTTTAAAGTTTTTCTTTTATCAGACTTTTTTTAATGAAATATTTTCAGTTGCTTTTATGCCATGGTAGAAGACTTAGAACTGATGATCCATTTTTGTATGTACAGTGTTAAATTTGTGGAAGTATGTACTTATATAAGATCATTTGTAATAAGATTTGTGTGCCTCAGAGTCATGGCCCATTTTGTGAACAGGGCAGCACAATAAAGTGCAATCACCATCCACATACCTGAGGCACTGGAGGGGCTGATGAAAGTGATGATTGATTTGGAGATGTTCTGGAAATAAGACGGCTCATGAGTTTTCTTCAGTAAATCCCAAATATCTATATTTCCATTGTCTCTGCCAATGAAGAAAACTCCTGGTCTTGTTAAGGACCATTGTCCTGCTGTGTACCTTCCTGCAGAGCAGCTTGACTGAAGGATTGGTCCATTCTTAATTTTTTTTGAAAACAAATAAAAGATAGACTTAACAATCAAACAGTACTATCAATTCACTACTTCAAATCTCCTGTCTTTGGAAAATGCTCAAAATTTAAATGGTCCCATAACAAAAATTATATCAATGGCAAAATTCGTACCACCTGCTACAGGTTAAAAGGATTGTGGGGAAATAAAAACCTGGTGTCTCACTTCCAGTCCCTTCAGGTAATCTGTCTGCTGTTAAAACCTGTGGTCTGGAGATTTTGTCAGGTGCAGCTAACCTGGATTCCTGCATGAGACAAGCTTAAAAAAAACCCCATGTTTCTTTGTCTTCACATGATGAAAAAAACCTTGTCCTAAAATACAAGTTCTTCAGATTTGTTCAGCATGCATTTCCCTAGCAGGAGAAATGAATAGTTGGGAAGCTATGTTTTTAACAAGGTTGGAATTTAAGAAGGTCACTTTACTTGTTCTGTAAAAAGCAAGTTTTCTAAGCTTTATCTAAAATAGTTTTCTGATATGAAGAAGATGAAGCTTCTTTTATCTGTTTTGTTTCTAGGATATGAAGCTTCATGACTTACACATTTCTGAAAATACATTCTCTGAGCCTTAGTCCTGTCTTGTATACCTATCACAAATGCTACAGCCGTCTTAAAGTAACTTACTGTAACTCCTTCTTTCCAAATGGCAAACTTCTGGCCTCCAATGCTTAGAAAGATGTCTTTAAAAAATGGAGATTTCTGGAGAGTGTTGATAGTTTTGGTGTGGAGGGCATATTTCTGGGAGTGCTTCTGACCTAATGGATGAAAAAGGTAGTTGCTTACTAGTGCCTTAGGGATCAAGAAACAAGAATGCAGGACCTACCACAGGCCTGGAAGATATCAGATATTTTTTGCTCACAAGGTACAGGAATTTGATTTGCCACAAATCTAGTTACTTCATGATTTGTGCCAATATCTCTGTGCTATTTTGTCATGCCATCCAAAGTGCTTGCCCTTTTGAAGGTATACTGTTAAATCCAGGTGTTATCAGTGAGAGAGGCTATTAGAGCGATGAGCAAGAACCTTAAAAAGACAGAGTATAGACTCTGGATATAAAATAAACAAATATTTTAAAGTTACTGATATATTAAGATTTAAACATGTATTGAGAAACTTGAACTTACTAACTGGTTTTGCTGAATTAATATCAGTTTTCATTTTCCAGTCATAATAAACAATTTCTCCATCCTGTAATGCAAAAAAAATCAAGCAAATGCTAATGTTAGAGCTTGGTGGCTTATTTCAAAGTGACTTATTTTTAAGCTGGGACTTTTCTTAATTATAACCGTTGATGCAAAGATTTTTTTTTGCCTTTTATATACCTTTTATATAACTTTTATGTATCCTCAGTACTCTTAGCATGCATACTTGTAATTCCTCCAGTTTGATAGCTTAGCATAGTCCTAGTATTCTGTTAGGCCAGGAGACCAAACATCCTAAAGGCCTTGTAGTTGGAGGCTGGAAAACGCTGCGCTGTCTTGGGAAACCAAGGTCCTCTCTCGAACATATCCTGTAAGCCAGAGATTTGTCCCATCCAGGGGGGAATTTGTTCATGCTGAACAAATTCCTCAGATGGGGGACTATCGCACCATCCATCCAGGCCTCCCATTAGGGCATCCTTGTTAGATATGCTCATTTGTAAGTTCTATAAATTGTATAGGCAATCTGTTGTGTGTGCTTTGCGGCACATCCCACCTTGGTGAACTGGTGCACCATAAGGATCCTTATTAAAATAACCAAGGAAAAAACCCTAATCCTTTAACTGTGTCTGGTCCTCAATTTTTAAGGCCAGGGAAAGGCATCACCATCATTAAATGTAATCTGAGTAAATGAAAACCTGAATTTGCAGCCAATGACTGAAAACACAGTAAACTTTTGTGTCACTGTTTTTCAGTTATGTATTGCCAAAACAGCTTTACTTGCCATGATGTATGTAGGCAGTCCTTCCTGCAGAATTAGGTGCTTGGTTTTGATAGTTCATGCTTTGTTCCAGTATTTGGGGAAAAGGTGACTGGAAGCAAAAAGGTTGCTAGAAGCCTAATTTTCATTTCCATATGAACTCAGAACTGGGAAAGACCCATGAATTTTAGTAGCATAAGGTAGGTATGTAGCAGGCTATGAATAGTTGAGATTTCCTAAAGTGAAATTAAGTTGGGGGGCAAACTGTAGAATAAATGTTTTCACATGACATGTGAGAAGACACTAGAAGAAATTACTAATCTTATATGTTCTGGAATAAGGGAGTACTCTTTGGTTAATAATAGGTGGCTAAGCTCAACATATTTTGGAAATGTCTTCTAATTCTCCTCTTGAAGTAAGGGTTCATAGTCTATCGAATATGGGAGGTTTATTATTTTTTAAGCATGTAGTTTAAAGTATTAAAGTGGAATTAAAAGGTTACATGTTCCGAGAGATCTTTTTAGTTACACCTGAAGAAAACATGCAAGTCCATACATTTGTGAAAACTCTGTTATTAGCTGTTCAGTCTTTCAGATATCTTGGGTTAACATTTTAATTGGTGCTTTAATTGGTACTTACTTCATTTCCAACAAAAAAGTCTGTGGATATATTCTGTAGCACTGCCAGATTTTTGCTTGAAGCAGCACTCATCTCTGTATATGGCTTCTCTTTGATGGGTGCTCTTAGTGCTCTCAGAGATTTTGCCTTCCCTGGGAGACAACAGTTACATCTTCTTGTTACACACTGGAATTTATTAGACCAAGCAAGTCCTTTGTCTTGTAAATGTAGTTTGTGGATAAGGAGAATTTGAAGAAGAGATACGAAGAAAGACTGCCAAGTAAAGCAGTAGCTCTGTAGGTTTCCTGTTTCCTGGTGGAGTCTCCCCATTGCTGCAGCCCTGAAGTCAGTGTTTCTTATATCCAGACAATACTTAGGGTAGCACCACCCTGTTCTTTTCCAGTTTTACACAACACCAGCGTCTCCTCGGGAGCTGCCCTTACATGTCACCCATAGCTGCTGCAACCAGGAGCTAACATCTCTGCTCCAGGGAATGGATTATGTTTCTAAAAATAGCTTTCTGTAACAGCTGAAAAGGACATATTGTTTCAGGGATAAAGAGATTGGGTGTGGGATTTGCATGGGCTTTTAAGTGAAACTGGATAGAGTCACTGTGTATATGGAATTGCTCAGTTTGGATTTTTACATGTACATCTCTTTGTGGTCATTACATGTTGGTCACACATGGAATACCTCTATACTTAAGAATTCTTTTTCTCCAGATGTGTTTAACTATACAGTATGTTGTTGCTCAGCTTTTATTATGTATATACTGAAATACAAGCTTATTAAAAACATTTTCCCCTGTAAGGTGTAATAAAAATATTACCTGGAGGTTTGTAACGATACTCCAGTTCCCTTAAACTCATTCTGATGGGACCATACTCTGTGTTGTTATCCCTTTCACGCAGATTTATCTGTTCAGAAAGAAGTGCATTTGCTAAACCATTTTGTCAGATCCTTGAGGTACAAGTCTAAATTACTTTCTGCTGTAATGCTACAGATCTTTGCAGTGTTTGTAATACTCCACAAACAGCATCTGCTGCCTCACATACAAGCATGGAGAAAATGCTCTCTGTGTTACCTTTTTCCTGTAAGAATTTTGCTTTCTTTCTAGCAAAAAAACCCAGTAATCATGCTTGTTCAAAAACATTTTCAACTGCAGGTATTCTGAGGACAGGTCAGCATGTCTAAAATTATTAACTTCTTTTTCTTACCTAACATTGTTTCCAGCCTCAGTTTTTTCACAAACTGCTATGACTGTTTTCATGAGACTGAATGTTTGTTTGCTAGTAATTATGATTCTGCTGACCATGACCATGTTCCACTATTTGGGATCCACTGAGATAGACAGCACAGCATCTGAAAAGGTTGACAGGAGCTTACACTATTTACACAGCTACTTTTGCACCTACTGCAGCTCTTTAGAAGCAGTCATGCTGTTTCTTATTAATTAGCTTTTCAAAATGCATTTTATTGAAGTTTCAAAGGAATGTCGAAGTATTTAACTTCAGAATCAGAAAAAAAAATCACAAGGAAGTCACAATTTGCTGGGAAAAGAGTTGTGAAGCAAAATATTATGTTCCTATGGAGTTCTGGCCATGTCTACAGTTTGGCTCAATCCCCATGTTCTGTATTTGTGGACACTACCTTTATGAGAGGTTTCCAGGAGAGATCTAAATCCTCATCAGAGTATGGAGCATCATGGGGTATGTGAGATTTTTTCTCCTCCTTTATTTTCTCAGATAAAAATTTTTCACGTTGTTCGATGGATGGAATATCCCAAAACAATATTGAGCTGCAAAATAATTGCATAACATATATTGTATAGTGTTTTGGTTTGCAGCTACATGCAATTTTCCTTGCATTTTAAAGTTTGAGGTTTTTTTAATCTTTTATCTTCAAGCTTTATATAACAGTAGAGACTGAAAATCAGATAAAGGCTAATAAGGATAATAATTACTTCTTCTTTTGTAAATGATGAAATATATTTCTTTATTCACCCTTTCATCAGTTAATTATACCAAAGCAGCTAGATAGTATTCATACAGTTTGCTTATGGACAGTTATTGGGTGAACTTACTGGCACTGCCTGGGTGAAATTCCTGAAGGCTGTAGCAGGTAATTTAGTAACTCAAATTGAAAATCAGTCCCAATTTTTGTGTGTACCAATTAATTTGCTGACATTCAAGGCAAATGGTTCAGCTCGTATCTGTCATCTCATTGGAATCTTCAGCCCTCTGATCATTCATTTTGTTCTACTCTGGACATTTACCCAAAGGTTTAATGCAGTTAATGAAACTTTCCTCATTGCTGATACCTCTCCCTTTTCTAATAGGAGTTGCTCAGGGACCTGTGCTCTTCAAGTATGACATTACAGTGACTTCGCTGTTCTTAACTTCAGATAAATACTTTCAGTTTGGAACCCTCGTGGCTGAGGAGTTAAAATAATTTCTTCTACGTGTATTACTTGCATTACACTACAAATTTATTAAGAACTGTATTTGCAATCTAACTTCTCATTTAATTTTTCAAAGTCTTCTGTTACTTGATTAGGAAATATAACTTTGCACCATTATAAAATTTTGCTCTCTCTGACCCTCCCTTTGATGTAACTAACAAATACATCACAGTACCCAGCCATGCAGCCTTGAACCTTAAGGTATCACAGAACCTTCTGATATCACAAAAGCTTAACATTTATTTCCACTTTTTGCATTCTGCCCCCTTGCTAGTCTTTCACACAGAATAATAACTATCATGACTTTTTGGTCCACAAAAGAGGAGATTCACAAAGAGTAATTCTGCCAGCTAAGTCTCAAAATTTATATAGAGTTTACAATATTTATGTAGAAATAGGCCTGAGAATCAATCTTTTTAACATCTTTTTTGAGCATGTCACACAAACAAATATAAGTGTGGGGATGCGGCTTTCCAGGGTAACGCATGTGTGATAAACACTCTTCTGAATGGGGTATCCACAGAATATAAACATATATCTGCAAGAGTTTTCAGTTAATAAACTCTTAATGCCATTACTGTAGAGGGTGTAACTGGGCAAGAATGCAAAGTGCTTGTCTTCTGCATATGGAATTTCAGCCACTCAGGATATGCTGATAGGATTCCAGAAATGTGCTAGTGAAATCATGGATTATGCCTCATAAAGTTTTTCAAAGGAAACTGGAAGATGTTTTGTAGAGTATATATTGTATATACCAATCAGGGGAGCAGGTTACAAGCTGCAGATTATTTTCATCTCTGATTTCAGAAGCACCACCCTTTTGGCTGTCCTGAAAATAACAATAATAATTATTATGGGGAAGAAGATGATGAAAGACAAAAGTCACACTCTGATAAGTAAGTACTTCAACACATAAAACAGGCTACTAGAAATTAAGTCACTGTTTCTGCTTGGGTAAGGTTTGAATATGAGGACTTATTAATTTGCAGTTACAAAATCAAGCTATTTTACAAATGTGCTTCATGTGAACTGATACCACCTTTGCCTGCTACATACCTAAAATTCTAAATTAGAATTTTAATTCTAAATTAAATTAGAAAATTAGAATTTAAATTCTAAATTAGAATAATCCTGCTAATTTAGCAGGATAAATACTTACTGGTACCACTGCAAGTCAGGCCCTCTTTAATTTGCCATATTTGTAACTTTTTTTATGCAGCTTAACCAAAGAGCCAGTAATTGAGAAATTTATTTTCAACAGTTAAGTACAGTGAGAGTGATGTGTCTTTCCCAAATTTACACCATGGGTCATCTATTTTAAATTATCACTTGGCTAGACCTCACTGTGGGATTGTAGTGGTGCCTTCAAATGTTAATTATTAATAGTTTAATTTGTGTATGTGGGCTTGTGCAGGTTTTATATTATTTATCATTTACCTAGTAGTTATTGGTTTATAACGAATTAATTTTAATTAGGAAAATAAAGGAAAGGTGTCAGAGGTAACAAGAAATTATAGGCTAATCAAATCTAACTTCCAGTACATAAAAAATTAACATATTTCAGCAAAAACTGTACTTATCAATTATGTGGCAAAATTTCAGAGTTTGTTTGGTTTTCTTTGTTGTTTTTTTTGTTGTTGGGGGTTGGTTTGTTTGTTTTTTGTTTAAGCCAAATCAGGCCTACTCTATTTTTCCTTCATTAGTTTGTCTACCTGGAATCACAATGGTAGTAATGCAGCCAGGCAAAGCTGAATTAGGTTTTTGAATGTAACATTGACTAATTTTTCTTTATTATGTAATTATAAAACTGCTGATTTTAGGAATTGTGCCATAAAAACTGCTGTGTCGTGCAAAGGCTGACATATTCCATGTTTATATAACAAAAAGTATGTCCCAGTACATGTTGCTAAGTACTGGCAAAATGTCTCCTTTGTCAGTGTTATTTATTAAGCAAGAGTTTTCTGTATTTGTTATCCCAGATGAACACAAAAACAGCCTTCTGAGCCTAAGCTTTGGCTAAAAAAACCCCACCCAAACAACAAAAACCACAACAATGTTCTGCTATCCAATCCCTTTCTTCATGCTTTACATCTGGTACCAGTTAGTATCCATGACTATTACTCTATAAAATAAAAATGAACAGTGGTATCAGCTGACATTTTATGATATGTGTGTGCCCCTTTTCTCACTTTTCTGGAAATGCCACTAAGGACTGTAGTGTCTGTGAAGTCTTAAATATTTTTATCAAAAATTTATTGATATATAATTTCCATAAACCTTTTAAAGATTTTCAGTTTTCTTCTTCTTGGACAGTTTTTCCACTGTCGTTACTTTGCATTTGACTACATTTGCATTTCAAATTAATTTAGCACCATTTACAATAGTTTGATAGTAAATCAGCACCCAGTGTTCCTGTTGGATCCTTTCAGTACATAGACCATAAGCACTTTGGAGCTCTAAAACCGTAATGGATAAAGTAAGTTTTGAGTGCAGTTTTTGAGGTAGCATCTAGATAAATTAAGGTGACTACAATAACACCACTCTTGGGTATCCAGATATTTAGATAATTAAGTTATTTCTTGGAATTCTTAGTGACAGTCTAGATTGCTCATAGTAGAAATTCAATACATTTTAAGTATGGCAGGTTTACTATAATTTTGAATTATAATTTTCTGTAAAGTTAAGGAAATTTTTTGCAGTATGAACAGATTAATATCAGACTGAGAGCACAGCACAGTTGTAAAGCACAATGAACAGGACAAGAGGCAGCAGATTATTAGTATCTACTAAATGCAGTGAGAAATAATGAATACAAGTAATTAACTGGTATTTTCTCTTGAGTTTGCATTAGGATTTCTGAGGTAGTAGATTAGAAAAGCAGTGAAAAGAAGTGGATTTTTAAGCTCACCTCAAAGTTACATGGTAGCCAATGTACATCTGTTGCTGGCTTTGTATGACTATATGGTATGGAAGAGGCTGCACAGTGTCTCACTAGAGATGGCTCTGTGCTACTCTGCTGGACATGCCTAGGTGACATCTAGAAATGTTTTAAGAAAAGATATCTAATTGTATTTTCAAAATAAAATAGTAAATCTATCAAAGAATAAAGGTTACTTTGCATTCTCTTAACACTTTTTCACGTATTTCAGATCAGTTCATAAAACTTTCTAGGGGTCTAATACCTTCCATTTGGGGAAAAAAAAAATAAAAAAAGAAAGCATCAAAACAGGCCTTTGGATATTAAGCTCTAAAAAGAATTCCACATGCCTCCACAGACATGCAGGCATCATTAATGTCTCCTCTCCTCTTAGGTCTTTCTTCTGCTTATCCTCTGTCCTTTTCACTGAAATAGTCTTCTCATCTTCCAAGCTGCCTTTTTGCTGTTCATGAACATCTCGAATACTTTCAGTATTGCATTCAGTAACAAACAGTATCTGTATTTGATAGGCTTTTTAAGGTAGGAGTGGAGGGTATATTGCTGCCCATTAAAGAACAGACTCACTGGAACATAAGTTGCACAAAATGAGTAAATCTAATAATCTGTACTAATCAGGTAGATGATTGGTAGACAATCAGGTACCATGATAATTGTGATAATGTTCTGATTTCATGAACTCATCAGGTTTCTTATCCTTTCTAGTGTTTCATTGCCAAGATTATCTACTCCTCTCTTCTGAGTCAAGATACCTTCACCCGTTTCTCCCCCACAGACATACAGATACACTGCAATATACTCACAACAGAAGCATTTACCATATTAACAGCTGTTATTTTTTCATAGAATTATAGAATGTTAAGGAGTTGGAGTGGACATTAAAGATCATCTAGTCCTGGCCCCCTAGCCATGAACAGGGACACCTCCCAATAGACTAGGTTGCTCAAGGCCTTATCCAACCTGGTTTTGAACACTGTCAGGGTTGGGGTGTGCATAGCCTCCCTGGGAAACCTGTGCTAGCGTCTCACCACCCTCACAAAGTAAACAATTTCTTCCTAATACCTAACCTACATTTCCCCTCTTTTAATTTTTACCCATTACTCATTGTCCTGTCCATACAGTTGCAAACCAATAGTCCTTCTCTGGCTTCCCTCTAGATTCCCTTCAGGTACTGGAAGGTTGCTCTGAGGCCTTCATGAAACCTTCTCTTTCCCAGGCTGAACAGCCCCAACTTTCTCAGCCTGTCATTGTAGAGGAGGTGCTGCAGTGCTCTTATCAACTTTGTGGCCCTTCTCTGGACTTGCTCCAACAGTTCAATGACCTTCCTGTGCTGGGGGCACCAGAGCTGGAGGCAGTGCTCTGGGTGGGATCTAGCCAGGGCAGAGGGGAAGAATCCCCACCCTTGCCTTTCTGGCCACACTGCTTTGGATTCAGCCCAGGATTCAGCTGGTGTTCTGTGCTGCCACTGCTCACAGTGGGAAACCCCTGTACACCACTATCCAACCATCAGCCCCAGAATTACCTCAGTCACCCTTGCTGCTGCTACTCTTGGCTCATCCTCTGAGGATTCAATAATTTCATCAGCAACAGGCTTTGCACTTTGCAGCTTTCCTTCATGTTTAGAAATATCCCACAGTACAACCTACATACAACATACAATGAGAAATAAGTACATTACAAATTGTACTTGTGTATGTGTACTTGTATGTGTATAAATGCACAGTGCATTAATACTCTCTACACTAGATTTTATGAAGTCTTTAAAGTATTTTCTCTTCAGTCTGATGCAATCAGAAGAAAGGTTACATTTGTCTCTAAAAAAAAAGTCTTTACAACTTGACCTATTTATCAGTAGTACAAAGAA